GTAAAACCATTCACCCTGAAAACAAGTCGAAACAATGAGCTAAACCCAGGATTGGGAGTTCCCCCAGCAAGCAGTTGGAGGAATGCTTGCCCTGATCTCCTGTTTTCCAGATTGTGTGTTCTTGACTGCTCTAAAGAGGAGGTTTTTATTTATTTTATTTACTCGCTGTTAAATTTATAGCCCACCCTTCCTCCCGAAGGAGACCAGGGTGGCAAACAAGGGATAAACTCTAAAAACTGCTTATAATAATCCCAGTGCAGATGCAGATCTCAACTTAAAAGGCTTGCTGGGAGAGGAAGGTCTTCAGCATCTGGAGTTCGAAAGAGTAAACGCCACAACACTAAATGCCCAATTCCTAATTTGTGCAGAATGGACCGCCTGATGAAATGGTATCTGCGGGAGACCCTCACCTGCAAAGTGTAGTGATCAATTGGGTATATAAGGGTTGATATGATCTTTCAGGCATCCCAGCCTTAAGCTTTTTGGAAGTTTATACCCCAAACCAGCACATTGAACCTATCCTGGGATAGGTCAGCCAATGCCATTCTTTCAATAGCAGGATAACACATTAGTGATACCTTGCCACCACATTTTGCACCAGCTGCAGCTTCTGAACCAACTTCAAGGGCAGCTCCACATAGAGCGCAATGCAGTAATCCAGCCTGGAGGTTACCATCGCATGGATGACAGTGGTAAGGTTATCAAGGTCCAGAAACGACAGTAGCTGTCTTACCAGCTGAAGCTAGTAGAAGGGACTCCTAGACAGAGGTCACTTGGACCTCCAGCAACAAAGATGGATCCAGGAGCACGCCTAAACTATGAACCTGCTGTTCCAAGGAGAGCACGGCCCCATCTAAAGTGGACAACTGGCCAATTATCCGGGCTCAGGAAGTTCAGCACCATCTGGAGGACAACAGATTGGCTGTTCTTTCCCACAGTGCTATAAGCACACAAGTGTGTAAGGAGCAGCAAACTAAGAAGCTGAAGGGATACAACGAATGGATCGGTCAAAAGGTACCACTTGATGTACCTGCACAATTTTCAGAATACAGTGGGAGGCTTGCTAGGTTTGGATCAAAGAACCAGTTTAGCTTGTGTTAATATACTGTTAGAAAGACATGGAGAAAACACCTGATGGTAGAAAACTACCTAGGTTCAAAGCTTCACAGATTTCATCGCAGGAACAATCCCGCATTGTCTGCAGGAGGGATCAAATAGGTCACTCAAGCAGCCATTTATAATTTTTGTGAAAAAGTCCCCTCCTGTCCCATAGAGCATTTCTTCCCCTCTTTTGTCCCCTGTTCCAAACAAGAGGCATGAAAAGAAAAGGTGTGCAGGAGAAAGCAGGTGGCCTCATGTTTTTCAAGAAGCAGGGGAAGAAAAGTATGCAAGGTACAGTAGTTATGCAAGGGTTTGAACGTGCTCTTTTCCAAAGCTGAGATTCATTCAGATAAAAGCTGTCCCTGAATGAACGGAAGAGCTGAATTGGGTGGCTCATTTAGCAGAAGCAGTGTGCCAGCCAGTTTAAAGTTTCGTCTCCTCCGGGCACTGAATTCTTGAACCAGCAAGAGCAAGTGCTTGGAGACCCAGTGACTCAGCAACCCACTAGGAGATGATCAAAATGCAAGCCCCCAATAGGGCTCCAGGCAAGATTCCATTGCAAACTGAGAGAAGGAAGCAAGCCTGCATTTCTATGTCAGCATGTCCCCAGTAGCAACCCCTCTGCATCCCTAACTCAGATTTATGCACAGTTGCTAGCTGGTGAATTCAAGCAATATTACTTGCATTAGGCTGGTGAGCAGTATAAGGCCACAAAATTCAAGCTAGTATGCGTTGGAAATTGCGCAAACCTTGGCTGGTTAAAGCTGAACAGGGTGTATTGTGTGTGCTACATTCTTGCAATCAAATATAAAATGTTACCTCTGTACTGTGTTCTGAAGACTGATAGCAATAGTTTAAGTCAACTTCTTAAAAATGGCATGCATCTCCTTATCTGAAAAATGCTACCAGTTGCTGTCATTGGACACCAGTTAGCATTCTGGGAATGGCAACTAGCAATTGGCTGCCTTATGACAACTCTGTTAGATCATCTAAAATGAAGCAGCTATAAGCGTATGAAACCTATATTTCCAAAGCCAAACAGATGGGCAAGATTTACGAACGGAAGTCGCTGGCTTGGATTTTAGGGTAAGTTGGGGTGTGTGTGGCTTGTCGGCAGCCAAGATGGACACACAATCCAATTTTGCTCCAGTTCCCAAGACTTCCTGGATCAGAGGAGAGCTAAAATTGGCTCTGGATCCATTCCAGTCCGGCTTCCGCGCTGGTCATGGGACCGAGACGGCTCTGGTCGCCCTAACAGATGATCTCCGCAGGCAGCTGGATCGGGGCGGGTCGGGGCTGCTGATTCTTCTAGACCTGTCAGCAGCCTTCGACATGGTCGATCACGAACTCCTGGACCACCGCCTTGCCGACGTGGGGATCCAGGGCACAGTCCTTCAATGGCTGCGCTCGTTTCTCTCTGGTCGGGGACAGAGGGTGGCGCTTGGGGGGGAATTGTCATCGCGCCACTCCTTGGTGTGTGGAGTACCTCAGGGTGCGATACTCTCCCGATGCTTTTCAACATCTTTATGCGCCCCTCGCCCAGCTTGTTCGGAGTTTTGGGCTGGGTTGCCATCAGTATGCCGATGACACCCAACTCTATCTGTTGATGGATGGCCATCCTGACTCGGCCCCAGACACACTGACCAGATGTTTGGAAGCTGTGGCTGGATGGTTACGTGGGAGCCGGTTGAAGTTAAATCCTTCGAAGACAGAGGTCCTCTGGCTGGGACGGGACGATATGGGATTGGGGGGGCAACTCCCATCTCTTGCGGGGGTGCAATTAGTGCCAGCACCGTCCGTTAAGAGTTTGGGTGTAATCTTCGATACCTCCCTCTCTATGGAGGCGCAGATCACAGCTATAACAAAGGTGGCATTTTTTCATCTCCGCCAAGCTAAGCAGTTGGCCCCTTATCTCTCTCGGCCTGACCTAGCCACTGTGATCCCCGCGACGGTCACCTCCAGACTGGATTATTGTAACTCGCTCTACGTGGGGCTGCCCTTGAGACTGACCCAGAAACTCCAGCGGGTGCAGAATGCTGCAGTGAGACTCCTTACGAGGTCTTCGCTGCGAGATCACATTCATCCAGTACTATACCAGCTGCACTGGCTCCCGGTGGAGTACAGGATCAGGTTTAAGGTGCTGGTTTTAACATTTAAAGCCCTATACGGCCTAGGACCCTCGTACCTACGGGACCGCCTCTCCTGGTATGCCCCACAGAGGAACCTACAGTCTGCAAATAAAAACATCCTGAAGGTCCCAGGCCTCAGAGAGGTTAGGCTGGCCTCAACTAGAGCCAGGGCTTTCTCGGCTGTGGCTCCAATCTGGTAGAACGCTCTGTCACAAGAGACCAGGGCCCTGCGGGACCTGACATCTTTCCGCAAGGCCTGCAAGACAGAGTTGTTCCACCAGGCCTTTGGTCAGGGCCCAGCCTGACTCCCTCCTCTGGCAACCTGCACAGAACTTTGCTTAACGGTTGCCATTAATTTGATTTTAATTAATTTTTATAATGAAATGTTTTAGAATGTTGGATTATTTGATTGTTTGATTATTTGATTGTTGTTAGCCGCCCTGAGCCCGGCTTTGGCTGGGGAGGGCGGGATATAAATAAAATTATTTATTATTATTATTATTATTATTATTATTATTATTATTATAATCATTACTCGCATTTGCTCCTAAAGTGGAACTGAAGTGAGAGGATGCAACAAAAGGTTCAAACATGGCAAGAAGAAAAAAAGTAAGTTGGCTTCCCACCCATGCAGGAAAGAGGTCTCATTTGACACTGCAGATAAAACTGACAAGGCAATAATGGTGCAATCACACTGAGCAAAGGAAGGAAAAAATGGCAAAGAAGACCATGCTGAGTTGTCAGGTGCAGAGGAATTGGTTCAGCCAATTCAATGATTGATGAAGAGGACTGGGTTAATGCCTCAAAACTGTTTATGAAAGCATTTGCATGCACACTCTTCCTCTCACACCAGGGATGGTTAAGGAGGCCTCAGGTCTCATTTTAAAAACTCAGTCCTGGTTAAATACATTATCTGAGTAAGTCAGAGACCTACAGATTCAGCTGGAAGGTCAGCAGGATCACAACAGGTGGCTGAATATTTTATTGAGGGGTGCCCCACAGAAAGAGGGGAAGTTACCCATGGTCCATGGGCTGAACCCAGCACCCTCCAACTTGTCATTAAATAAAATTAATTTTGACTGCTTTAATAGTTTCCTGCTGTAGTGCCAAAAGGTTTCTTGTGGCCAAAAAAATCATCCATTTTTAATTATTCTTTTTTAAAAAATGATTACCAACCACACTTGCTAGTCTCCTGCCGTAATGCCAAAAGGTTTGTACTACAGTGGTACCTCGGGTTACGTACGCTTCAGGTTACAGACTCTGCTAACCCAGAAATAGTACCTCGGGTTAAGAACTTTGCTTCAGGATGAGAACAGAAATCGTGCTCTGGTGGCGCAGCAGCAGCGGGAGGCCCTATTAGCTAAAGTGGTGCTTCAGGTTAAGAACAGTTTCAGGTTAAGAACAGACCTCCGGAACGAATTAAGTACTTAACCCGAGGTACCACTGTACTCCCTCACCCAATTTCCCCCCAAATGTCCCTTTTTTTAAGAAAAAAAGTCACACCTACTTTAACATGTGGCCCTTAATCATGAGCTAATGGGGCCCTTGACCCCTCCAACACCCCGCAAATTAACCTCCCCTGTCTTATGTCAGGAGGCCTAAGGGAAGGTAGGAGATATATTGACAGCTATAAAATGACCGGCCCACTCCTCCACCTCAGCTCTGAGACCATATGTATGGCCATGCATTTTGTTCACCTAGTGCCGTACAAGAAAGATGCTGTAATGGAACACGCCAACTGGGAGAAAAAGGATTAAGGCAAAATTATACCCATAAACTAAGGGGGAATGGTTTATTGGCCCTGGAAGTTAGTTTTTAGATGTTTAGCAGCAGATTCAACGAGCCAGAGCTTGCAATGACAGTTTCAGTACAAATTACAGCAAGAACACTTTTAACAATTTCAAACTTGCCTAATAAACCGAAGGTTCAGACACCGATTGTAAATAAACACCCAGATTCGGCACAAATGGTTTATTTATTGGATTAGTCTCAAGTCCTATGACTAACTCCTGGAAGCTCTGACATTATTCCTAAACCCACTTGTCAGGGCAATGTCTAGAAATGAAATGGAACTTCCAAGGATACGTAACCCAAGAATAAAACATTAACAGTGACTGCGCTGCAAGAGTTTAAAAGTAATAAACTAGTGCCACCTTGTGGAGAAACTTTGCTGGGTTCACTGTGGGATTTAAAAGGCACAAGAGAAGCTGGGCTTTTAGAAAGACATGTTCTGCATATTCCTAGCATATGACAGTAAGAGCTGTTCGACAGTGGAATTTGCTGCCAAGGAGTGTGGCGGAGTCTCCTTCTTTGGAGGTCTTTAAGCAGAGACTTGACAACCATATGTCAGGAGTGCTCTGATGGTGTTTCCTGCTTGGCAGGGGGTTGGACTCGATGGCCCTTGTGGTCTTTTCCAACTCTATGATTCTATGAAAGATACTGAATTTGGAGGTCTGCACCCTCTGATCCACATAATCAATATATGAATAACCCCCTCTCCTAACATGTGGACTGCCATCTACTTGAAACAAACCACCAAATGCAAAGCCACTGAATAAGTCCACTGTGAGGGTAAAAATTATTGATGATTCGATAGTTGCAAATTCCCAAGTGAACTATCCCAATCTGTGCACTGCTAAAACTAATGTTTGGCTTGCTGCTTCATCACCCGCTAGATTCCATACTGCTCTGAATGTTGTGACAATTCTTAGTAGTTTGTCTCAAAATGTGTATCTAAATTTAAGTTCTTGAGCAAATGCACATTTCAATATATACTATGGGAGGATTTTTTTAAAAAAACTTTTAAACGTGGAAATGGAACAATCTTATTATTTGTGTAAACTGCTCTAGGAACACAGCTGAGGGCTATGTAACAATATTTATTTTAAAAAGCATTGGAGAAAAACATCACACCACCACTCTGCTCTCTAGGTAAAAGGAAAGAAGTGCTTCCTTTCCTCTAGTAGCAGGGAAAGGGGCATCGGCAGTAGAAATCCATGTACAGTGGTACCTCGGATTACAGACGCTTCAGGTTACATACACTTCAGGTTACAGATGCCGCTAACCCAGAAATAGTACCTCGGAACTTTACTTCAGGATGAGAACAGAAATCGTGCTCCGGTGGCGCGGCGGCAGCAGGAGGCCCCATTAGCTAAGGTGGTGCTTCAGGTTAAGAACAGTTTCAGGTTAAGAACAGACCTCCGGAACGAATTAAGTATTTAACCCGAGGTACCACTGTATCCACATGCCACCTTCTCCTTCTTCCTGCCTATTTGGTGCAAAAAAACAGAATGAAGCCTCACAGTTTCCCACTAGGGCAAAAACAGTAATTCCTGCTTGCTTAAGGCCTCCCCCCTCCCTTCCCTGTGAACGCCTTTCACAGGCTAAAGCAAAGCGCAGGTCACAAAGTTTTTAAAGAGGTTGTTGCGAGGGTTAAACGATACTGGAGACAAGTGTAAGCAAGATTTAAACGGTAAAAGTGCTCCCTCCTTGGAAAGATGAAGAAAAATGCCCTCAGCCCCCATGAGTCACTTCCATTGCAATTTAGCCATAAACACTGGATGCCAAATCCATTTAAATTTAATTTATTTAGCTCTCTGGGATGCACCTCTTACACAACGATAAAGAAGAATGTTTGTACAGAAGTCATGGAGCCCATCTTGCCACTGGCACACAAGAAACCCACAAGAACAGACCCAGAGGGGAGGGCCCTTCATTAGCCTCGCTGCCTCGCTTCCATTCTGCATACAACATAGCCTAGAAACGGAGCCAGTACATGGCGCTGCGGATACGGTTGTAGTCCGGAAGTTGTTCGATGGGACCTGAGAGAGAAAGAGAGTTGGTCATTAGAAAACACAGTCAAGAAAACATCTGGCATCATTGCTGTCCCGCTCCTCTCTAATCCACACTAAAACTATTATGGTCTTAAATCAGCTAAAGCAGAGCTAGTCTTACCCGACGGCTATGAAAGACTTAAGATCAATTGTAACAATGTGTCTCTCTGTCCTCGGCTCCTCAGAGCCCAAATCCCCATAGTAGATGTTTGATTCAACAACAGGGCAAAATCCAAGTCTCAGACAATATGGTGTTTGAGGGGATTTTATAGACTCCCAGTTTTGTCTGGAAAGCCCCTTCCAAAGAGCTTTGCTTTGAAGACTTAGGTGGAAACTTTAATGACTGCAGCGTGCAATGGAGGAATCACCAGCTCCTTTAAGTAACCAAGCTGTTCAGGCAGGTTTTCCAAGGGAAGCGTTTCCTTGGCTGGCAGTCAAAGATGCAGGAATGCTGCTACAACGAGCCAGCCCACCTGCTAGCATTGCATAAATGAAACTGACCCCAAATGAAGCATTTTACAAATGTTGCCAGAGCCCTTCTCGGTTAAAATCGTAGCTCCCTCATAACGGGAGATGTAAAAAGGGTGGCGTGCAGACTTGTACTGCCTCAAGTGCTCAGATCAAACCTGATTCGCCAAATGCAGCAGGTGACTAATTTGGCATGGCTAATCTGAAACAGCTCAAACAGAGATGAAGCCAAATAAAGGCCAAAATAGGTAAGTGGTGTTATGAAACACCCTCCGCCCCCCAGAAACCAAGGTTTCTAATGAAAGCAGCTACCATTTATGTCCTTTTTCATCTCCCAAGAAGATGAAAACATACAAGGCATAACCACTTACCAACTGCTGCAACAGCTGGGCATCTGTCATAGAGATATTTGCTGCAGACTTCCCGAATTGTTGCTGCATCAACCGCCTAGAAGTGTCAGAGAAAAGCAGAGGATTACACTTCAATCAATAAAGTCGGAGGTATTACTTTGCCACTACCCAGCAGACTGCTAGCCAAGGACTTTGTCATGGCTGGCAGAACTCTCAAGCTGGAAGGATCTCACATGGTTCAGTGATTTCTAAGATCATCTACAATGTCTTTCCCTCAAGATACATAGGAAAGCTTTACAATTTTCTGCAGCGCCTGTCCAATTAGCCTCAAACATGCCAGCACTGCACTTCAAGAATCACAACACGCTTTACTAAACATTTTTGTATGTTGTGACCAGGGTTCCAGATCTAGGCTTGATTTCCTGAGTTCTCCAAGTTCACTGCTGATGAGCAGGTGGTTACATATGCTGTACAGATACTTAAGTTGAACATAACCACCTACCCTGTTTTCCCGAAAATAAGACAGTGTCTTATATTAATTTTTGCTCCCAAAGATGCGCTAGGTCTTATTTTCAGGGGATGTCTTATTTTTCCATGAAGAAGAATATGGTACACATATTTCGGGGAGGCCTTATGTTCAGGAGGAGGCCTTATTATCGGGGAGGTCTTATTTTGGGGGGATGTCTTACTTTTGGGGAAACAGGGTAGTTGTTGTTAAAAAGGAACTATGCAGAAGGTCCAGCTTTCAATGACAAGCATTATGTTCCAGAAATGCAAGTATATTTAACTTCTCCTTCCATTTAATAAAGATACCTACAGAAATTCTGGAATCCCATTCTGCCAGAGATATCCGGCGTCCGTAGTTCAGCAGATGGCTTCCAATATTCTCACATGCAGGAGTGGTACCTGGAATATATGAATTAGTCAATTGTCAGTGGAAACCTTAAGCTGTGTTTTAAGATGTAAAGAACATTATGTAAGACTATGCAAGCAGCACCTGTTGCGAACTTACATTTAACAGGCCCTGTTATATGGTCTTTTTAGAAATTCATTTCAGAAAGCTACAATAGAATAGACTTGTTTCTGGCTGGAGGCAAGAATTAGGTGAAGCCACAGATAGGACTATAGTTCAGCTATACTTAAATTAAAGGTTTACACCACACACACACAAATCCAGGCAAACAAGTGGCATTATCAAGGGTCAGATAGAAGTATCTGGAGTGCCATATTGAGTCCCAGGACTATCTTAAGAGACACTCCCTGTTTTTCTCCTAGGAAGGACTGGTTCTTCAAAGATGATGGTTCCTATAACATATTTGTGCTTCATCCAAGCTAATGATCTTAACCATATGCAAGCGGACTAAAATTCATATAGTTGAGACTTATTTTAATCTCATGTCAGCTCCACTTATTTTCTATCATGGAGACAAATGGGTCTCATCTAGGAAGCTCCGAATCTGAACCAAGTGATAAAGACAAGAGGGAGCAGAAGAAAGACTGTGTTGTTTCTGATGGGCACAGATAATTGCGTTACCAACAGTAGCCTTCCTGCTCCAGAGGTTGCACACAATGGACAGGTAACAGGAAAAAGCTTACTAGAATTTATAGACGTCAAATAGCTTGGGCTTTACGTCCAAGTGAGAGTCAGGCACCTGGAGAAACATTCAAAGATCCACTCAGAAAGTGCAAAGCAGGAACTCCCCAACTTAAAAAAAAATAAAAATCATACCATCCAGTTGAGCCATCAGTGTGTTACGAACAATGTTTTTTGCTCTCTTCACCTCGCTGTCGGTCACACTGGTACAGAGGCGCATCCTGCACAGGAAGCGGAGGGGAAATGTTAATCAAATACCAACCACTTTTAGGTGACTCTGCCTTTCATGTTTTCATAGGCTCAATATTAAATCTTTACTATGGTTACTAATCAGTAGACAAAACCTGAGAGGTGCAAGCCATATAAGAAGTGATCAAAAGGCAGCACAAACATGGACAAATGAGTTGATATCCTGAATGAGGTGATGTCTGTATATCAGCCCTCAATGTTATTCATATTCTTCTCTATATAACACATGTAATGGATGTTTCTTCCTCAATAGACTTAATTGACATTGTCAATACCTATGGCCCCAAGAGATTTGCACGTGTCATAGATAGGTTGCAGGGAGATACATTGTGAAGCCTTATACAGTACTGTTCTGCCTACACTTAGTATTTGTAAAGCTAACTCAATGTACTGACTTCCCTGCAGTGCAAGTTTTGTAGGAACAGAGCTGGCAATGAGTTCATACTCACCATTCACCCTGGGCAAAGTGCAGTGTGTCTTCAACATTCATAGCATCAGTAACAAAATAGAAACCGAACAGACCTGTGTCAGAGTAGCAAGTGTTGAAGGATTGGAAACTTTGACACAGCTTGTTTTCCACAGCAATTCTAGCCAGCCTGCTCGACTGATTCTGTAGGTAAAATAATTATGACCAGTTATGGCCATCTGGTTTGCCCAACAAACCCACCAAGAAGTTAAAATTAAGGAAGCAGAAAACCCAGACATCATAGACCACTGTTACTGTGGATGAAAACCACCTGCACTCTGTGACAGAGACTGTTCCTCAATTGCACAGATACTATGAGAATGTAAGTCAGAAAACCAAAGGGGATAGCCTGGCAATTACTGCTTTGGAGATTGTTGCAAACTTGCCATGTGAGAATCCCAAGTCCTTCCCTCGCTCAGTATGCAGTTTCATGTTGCAGTGCAGTGCAGTCACTGCTCTCTCCACCCCCCAAATTTGGGGCACTAGTTGTTGCTGTTGTTTTTGTTTTTAAAAAACCAGACTGAATACAATGAACGAGACCATTGTCTCACTTGTCCTATTTTCAATTACCCTAACCAGAAACAGATCAGTTGGAGATATTAAGGGCTGAGCCTGGGGTTTCTATATGCAAGGGACATACAATGAGCTACAACCCTTGTTGACACCTGCCAGAAAGACATCAAGGAGCACATTCTCAGATTTATATTCATGTTGATAGTCAAGGATAAACACACAGCAGTTTGTGGTTTTTTTCGCATGACTAGCAGTAGCTGAATTATCTAAGTGCACGAAGATAGCACAAACAGGTGCATCAAGAAGTCAAAATCTGAGCATATCTTGACTGTTCAAAGTGCCTGAATGCTGACCTACTCAAGCACTGCACCAGCAGCAAAAGCATGTAATGAACTGATGATCAACTCTAAATGATTTGAGTTCCCTCAATGAGACTTTAAATCCAAGACATGTAATCTTGCCTTCCGCAAGCCTATCCTTTTCCGGAGACCTGCATATCCGAATGTGAAAGGCAAGAATCATTTTCCAGGCAACTCATGTTTACCTGACCGTGTTAGATTTGAGGAGACTCACTGAATAGATTCCCTCTCTATTCAGGAATTATGGTTTTTGAAAATACAATCTCAACAATACACTCTTCAATGGAAACAAAAATATTGGAAGTATATAGCTATAATGGAGAATATCATTTTTTGATTTTATCATAATTTGAGATTTCAGCAAGGATTAGAGCCTCCAGACAGTTTTAACAGATTTGGCATTCCTTTATAGTGGAAGCATCAGACAAGGCTAGCAAATCTGGAACTATGCTTTGTGATCTGATAATTTAAAGGCACCCCTGTTTAGGGAAGTTTTTAATGTCTGATATTTTATTGTGTTTTTAATACCCTCTTGGAAGCCGGCCAGAGTGGCTGGGGAGGCCCGGCTAGATGGGTGGGGTACAAGTAATAGATGGTGATGGTGATGATAGTTTACCTGAACTTTGCTATTTTAACTCATGTGCAACTAACTCAAACACATAATCAAATTAAGGCCACATTTTCACACTATGGGTTCATTTACCTAAAACTGCAAAACGCTGTATAATTTTGCTAGCATACAAAATGGAAATGCATGTGGGAGGAGACTGTTACAAGTAATGCAAAATAGATATCCCAGTCCCATAGGAACTTACCTTGCCACCACCAAAAGTAACATCGTATCGCCCAATGACTGCATTAGCTACCAGAAGGGGAATATTGTCTGGATTGGCCCAGCCTGGTCCCTCCACTGCAATAGCAACATGAGCCAAAGGCAAATCATCATCTCTGACTCTGATCTGGAAAAAAACACAATGAGAAATTAGTTCAGGTTTCAGGAGTAGACTGTGAGATCACGTGCACTCTTCTCTCTCACCACATATTGCTGATAGATGGCACAGAAGAGGGCAGAGCACGTTTAAACAATAGGGAGGCACAGGAATCCGTATGCAGGATCTTTGTGCCTGCACACTCCAATCCTATACTTGGGTTTTCAGCTTCAAAATATGTATAAATACAGAGCAGCCTCTTACAATAGTTTGTCCAAAAAGAGGGTTTTGACAAAAAAAGGAGCAAGGGGGGCTATATTCTGGGGTGGTGAATTCAAGACTAGAATACAATTTTGCTAAACTAAAGGAGTCGGCAAACTATTTTATCACTATTAAGAACTGCCTAAGTGAAATCGACACTTTCTGAGATTCACTCTCTGCTTGTTGAGGATGCCAAGTATTTAAGACTCTACCTCACTCCCAGTGAAGCGGCAGTACGGAGGAATGGGAATTGTGTCTTCCTTGTATTCATAGGGAACATTGCCAAAATGCTGCTTGGCAAGGTCCACGACTTCTTTGTGGCTGACCCCTGGTAAAGAAAGCAAAAGGAGTGACAACAATACAATGGCTTCTGTTTTCGAGAAAGAATACAAAAAATAAATTTCTTGTTGTTTGGCAGCTGCCTAACATGTTAAAATCTTATTCTCTGATAGCTCTTTGGGCTAAGAGTAGTTTAGCAGAAGTTTACGCAGTGCATATTGTCACAGGAAAGTTAATTCTCCCACCCCAATGAAAATTTATTCACCAAGTCTATCTACTCAGACGTCTTTTACTACATAAAAACATTTTATCTGCTTTCATGTGAAACTGGAAAAAAAGAAAACAGGCCTATCTGTTAGTTTAGGCCCTATTGATTTCATTTTCACTATGTTGCCCTAGCAGGAACAAAACTGGGAATGTGGTCCATTCAGTTCATAACATGGACCTCAAAAGACATGGAATATGATTTAGCCATGCCTTGATTCTAAGCTTCCTTGATCAATTGTTAAGCATATACAGGGTGTAGTGTGTACTTCCAGAAAACATTCAAAAAAGATTCTGACAAAGGCCAGTGAAATAAAGGAACTGCAAGTACCACCAGGGGAAGTTGATGGGCTGATCCGACTTGAGATATTTTGCCATCTGCTCCAAGCTGGCCCCTACTGTAATCCTATTGACATTGGTATATAATTGTACATCAGGCCAGTCTAAGAAAGATGAGCTATTCCTAACAGTAAACTAGTACCAACCTCCAGCAGCTGCCAGGACCATGCGAGGGGCTTTGTAGTGAGTCTCAACATATTCTGTTAGATTTGCACGGGACAAATGCCTAATGAAAATACAAAAAATACATTAAATATGCAGAGATGAGTTTCTTGTGCAGTTTTTACCACTGCAATTCAAGCATTCTGGAGACCCTACCTTTCCTTCCTAACAGATAGTAGCTGCAATCAAACTTGCTTAGGATACTTAATTCCTGTTTTTTTTTAAAAAAAAACCACAATGGTTCTAAAATATGTATAACTGTGCACAGGATTGTAATCAATGTCTCAGTCACATGGATATTAGCATGAGAATAATTTCATTGGGTTTGGACCTGAAGAGATGCCAATCTGGATCTCTGCTCAGAAGGGAAGTATTAGACAAGCCACTCTTCCTCACCCAGAGTGCTTTATTTGGAAAATGGGAACAACAGTGATCAATTCTTAATAAAAGTTGTAAAAATACAGACTGTCAAGTCCTTGGCAACATCTTGCACTACTGATCTGCTTTCAATTGCAACTTCTTTCTAAAGTTTAGTATGTTAAGCTTTTAGTCCTGTTGTTGAAAAGACGTTATCCCTCTTCTTTTCAACATCTGTTAAAATAATGCAGGAAGTCCCAGGTTCAGTCTCCAGCATCTCCATGTAGGACCAAGAATGTCACCTGCATGAAACCCTGGAGAGCTGTTGTCAATCAGTATCAACAATATTGAGCTAGGTAGACCAGCGTTCTAGCCTGGTATAAAGTATCCTATGCTCGCCATGTAAATACACACCTTCTCTTTGCTTTTGTTAAGGCCCTTGCTACCTTATGTATTGTATGATACACCTTACCATTTATTTCAGTTATTTACTTCAAACAAGAACCTCCATAAAATATAACCCAGCAGTGGTGGGGAAATGATGTCAGATGCGCTTTATTAGCCAGGAAATAAGCTCTCCTTACTTTGCATTTGCTGTTGTTCCTTCAACAGTCCGACTCAAAGCAGTGCCTTGATAAGCTGTAGCATGGAGGTAATCAAAGACGACATGGGACAAGCTGCCATCAAGTTCTTGCATTTCTTGAAGGATGACATTCCGCTCCTTTTCAATCTGGGAATCCTCATAGCTGCTGTTCTGCACTACATCAGCCAGAATCTCAATTGCTAAAAAAAGAAAAGAAAAAGGGGTGGGGAGAGACATATTTTCTTGCCAAACTGAATGGAGAAGACAACTAGACATTCTTGGGCGAGAAAGGAACTTGCACACAGATAAGCAGCAGTGGTTCCCAATTAGCTAATAATTGCAACTCTCCTGTTTTTCAAAAGCCAAGCCATGGACCTTACTTTGAAAATGCTCTGCTGTAGTTTCTGGTATGTGTATGGTGCCACCATACCCCTCCCCCGCCAACATCTTCCAGTGCAAAACTGAGGCGTGCATCTTCTGGGCTGCGCTCCTGCACGAGTCACATGACCTGTGCGAGAGCATGGTGCCGCAAATGTGTGTTTTGGGGCACTGCAATCTCACATGTTTTTGGGTGCTGTGCTCTTCACATGAGAGCGTGGCCCCCCAAAATGGGATGTTCTGGACATTTGACGGGTATGTGCCAAAGGCATCCTGGGATCCACAGACCACCGAGTGGGAACCACTGGCCGGTGTTCAAAACTCCCATTGTTCTAGGAGCATTTTGCGATAGGAAATTTCATTAGACCAAGCAGTTTCTGAGCTCTGGGCACAGTACTGTGCCAAAATTTCAGATTAAAACTGCAGAATGGAAGGAAAGTAGTACCTTTTTTCTGCTTCCCCACTTCCAGCTTCTCTCTTAAGACTGGAGAAGAGACCCTCTTAAGAGTATTAGGGGGGTGGGCTGGGGAAGGACTAGATTATGTGAAAAATGAACATAATATTTTAGCTGCTGTTCATTCATTTTCAGCTTTGTATTTTTGTTATTAAAAAGCGTGCCTAGACATTCTGTTGTTGTGCCCATAACCTAGGTTTAAGATGCCAATTAGCTCCTAGCTTTCATATCTCAGTTTCTAACACTGCTGCCGGCATATAGCATTTATGGCATCATAAAGCTACCCCACAGCCAATCCCCTAGTGATGACAAATAGAACACATCCTCCATCTTATTTCCTGCCTGTCATTCTTCTCCATCCTGCTGGTTTTATACTTCCCCTGCTTCTATTATTCTCCATCCCTACACCCCCCAAAAATCCAACATCTCATTTGGGTTTACATCTCAGTTGCTGTTATATGGACCTGTAGTGCTTAAACTACAAAGCTTTTGCTAGCATATAGGGTAGGTGGTCCATGCAACTAGCATTTTGTGAAATAATCAAAGAGTGAAATTTCTGCCAAGGCAGCACAATTTTACATCTTTTGATAATTGCTGGGATTATTGTGGCCCATTTTGGCCATCTGAAAGCAATTGCTTCTTGACAGCAATAAAGTAACCATTTGTCCAGCCCTGGGCAACTTCCTTTAGGAAACCATAACACACAGGCTGCCAAGTGGTTAATGCACTGTTGTCATGTGGAAAATTGCTTCCTGCTGACTGAAATTGGCTTAAATCAAAAGCCATTATTTTGTGTGGAAGTGCAATTAAAATATAGCCTTCTACAAAAACCCTGTGGATTTGTTTTGTCCTTTGAAAGCTAATTAAACACAAATGCAAAGAAAGCAATATCCCCGCCTGCCAAAATCTCAAGTGTAAAATAACACAACCCAATGCACTACCTTTGGGCAAATCTTTGGCTAACGCTTTCATGAAGAAGGCAGTCTGCTCACGAGAGGTGTAACTATTGAGATGTGCACCCATGCTCTCAACTTCCTTTTCAAATTCAGGACCAGGGCGTTTCTTTGTACCCTAAAGAAATACAGATAGACAAACAACTGGATATCTGGGGGCATAATGAGTACATAATCAGTAGCTGAAGCGCCAGAATTTTTAACATATGTGGAAACTCTCAAATTGCACAACTGAACACAAATTCAACTCAGCACTGTCACAAAATACTGCCACACAGCTTTTGTCTTAAGTCCATTAAAAAAAAATCTTTAAAAAGTAGTCTCTTTCAGAATGCCTTAAAAATGCTAAGCATTTGAAGAATTCACTCTGATGTGGTGAGCACAAGCTCTCCCTGCATGAGGATATGTACAAATAATATTCACCACACAAAGGAAATGGTATTCACTTTATTACATTTTTATTCTTTCTCCTCAACGAAGTGGAATATGAGAATTTGATTTCAGCCACAGAGAATAATGGGAGAAACAATAATTAAGAACAGGCTGATTAAATTACAGACACACATCATGATGGATCAGAGAAGAATCAGTGCATTATAAAGGTTATTCATGCTCTTCTCAAATATACTGAAACTATCAGATAGGTATGATCCAATCAATCTGATTTTTCTAGAAGTCCTTGCCAGAGATCACAGCAAAGTCATGCACTCATTGCAAATGCTGGTCTTTCTTTTTTCTGTTAACTTGTATTGTCCTGATTATCTTTATGTGGGTTGTAAAGAAATCAGACTGTGTAAAAGAAATTGGGAGGGAATGTGCGCTTAATTTGGTTCCTAGAGCTAACCTTGGCTGGCTGGTAAATATTTCATGAGATACTAAAAAACAAACAAGGTAAAGTGTGAATTCCAGTTATACTGGTCTGTAAAAGGCATTAAAGCAAAAGTATGTATCTTTGATGTTGGTTTGTTTGTGGACTGGGATATAAAGGATCAGAGGTAATATCAAGCTTAGGGAAGGAGGAAGGAGAGCAGGCTGCTAAGATCCTAAGGATTCTGACTGAAAGATCCTTGCTTAACAGAACTCTAGCTGATGGGGCTAGCAGGATTCAAAATGCCAATCAACTGTATCCAAACAAGACAAAAGCCTGCTCCATTATCTAAGGAAACATCATGCAAAATTTGGTTACAATAGCCTTAGAGGTCTCCAAATGCATAGTGAACAAACAACTCTCCAAAAATACATAGAAGATATTGAGAAGAGAATAACTTGCCACCTCACCTTGAAAGCCAGGTGTTCCACAAAGTTGCCAACTCCATTGTTCTTCTCAGTTTCATAGCGGCTTCCCACTCTGATCCACACCCCAACCTGACAAAAAAGAAACAGTGAGTAAATACACTACTTATTAGACCAACTTTCCAGACATTTGCCTGCTATTAAGACAGAGTGCACAGAAAGCAGTAGCTTAGCTACAATTTCCACTACGCACAGAATGACAATTACACTCTTAAATCCGTATTTCTCCCTGTATTTTGTAGTTTACAGAGGCTTTTCTTACTGAGACACAGCCTTTCTACTAATTGAATTTGTTCAAAGCATAATTGGAACTGAGAGTACAACAGGGGTTTGGTTCTAAAGCCTCCTCAGTGGTGGCACCCCTGGTGTGGAATAGCCACCACAAAGATGCTTGCCTGGCACCTTTCTTATGGCTGTTTTCATGCCAGATTAAGACCTTTTCATTATATTAGGCTCTTAAAATCTTAATTTTTATCCCACTGATTATATGCAGCAATGCCTTTAAAAATATTGTCATATATTGCATTTTATTATTTTATGCCTAGGAATGGCTTGAGTGTAGGTACAGCTTATTAGAACTATAAAGGTGTCTCTATTTCTAGCAATCTGGCTCAAGTTATTTATTCTACTCCATGGCCTTAAGGTACCCCAAGTGAACCAGAGTTACATTATAGAACAGTGTTTTAGTAAGAAGAGCAATTCTTTCCTTTAGCAGCAAACTGCCTTTAAAACTATGAAGTGGCCATTATAATAAGTCCTAAAAGCAGGGCTGCTGTTGAAGAATATTTGAAGGCTATAATGGGCAGAAACCAGTAAATAGGTCAATGGGATGTCAAAAGCATAATACACTCCAGAATTTCACTAGCCTTTCATACACTTTTCAGAGCCATTCAGACCTCATATGACCAAGATACGTTCTTCCTGTATCTTCTTACAATGTCTATCACCACTCTAGGTAAGTTGTTTTTAGACATTAACCTTGAGAGAAATCTTTCCACGTTGACTTGTCTACTGAGGTCAGAGGTCCTGTGTGCCTTGTAGAAGATTCTGAAGCATATTTTAGGGAACGGCTCAGCCAGCTGGTCCTCACTGTTGCCCTGCCTGAACTGAAACTGAACCCAAGAAAACACTCAACGGCTATACACTGAAAAGTAGATCAGATGCGCTGGGCATGTTTCAGGAACATTTGCCTGTCATTCTGGCCTTCTCACGGAGAAGCCCCAGATAAGTTTCCACAGGAACCTTAGGATTCTTCAGAATAAAGCCTGAGAATCACTGCCATTGATCAGTAACAAGCAAAGAACAAGCAAGCAAAGTCCGAAGAGATGCACAGTTGCTGCTTCATAGCTGTGAATTCCTTTTCCTGGAGAGTCGCTGAACATTTTTTGAATCATTGAGAGGAATTATTTAGTGTTTGCTCCTCATTTAGTTTGATATTTATCTTTTAGAATTATCTTTTCTGTTTTTCAAAAATAGTACTTTTTAACTTGAAACTCAGAAAGATGGCAGGTTATGCGCTTCAATAAAAAATAACAAACTTTAACTGAAGATAGGCCCAAGTGAAACAACAGAGACTCCAATAATTTTCAGAACCCCATATTATGCTTACCGTACAAGTAGGCTGGCCAGATTGTTCAGAAGCCACATGTAAGCCATTGTCTAGAGTGGTGACATGCGTCTCAGGAATATTATGTAGCACCTGAGCATAAGATGCAGTGCTTCCTCTTCTTGTCAAACTCCATAAAGCTGGCTAATGAAAAGTTTATTGTCAAAAGCACAATTCATATAACAAGATAAATACACGAAGAGTTATATAAAGACATCAGATACATGCGAAAAATTACTTGTATGCAATTTTATGTTGTTACAGAAACCACCTGATGAAATGTGACCACCACCAAAAAAATCACAGCGTTAATACAAAAAATAACTTCTGATCAGAAAGAGGACACCATGGGATAAGCATACATCATATACCTGAATGGAGTTTTCAGTACAGTCATACCTTGGGTTACAGACGCTTCAGGTTACGCATTTTCGGGTTGCACACCACGCCGAACCAGGAACTACTGGAATGGGTTACTTCCAAGTTTTGGCGCTTGCACAAGCACAGAAGCTCTAAATTGCGCATAAGTACCGAATTGTGACCCGTGCATGCGCAGACGCGTCGCTGCAGGTTGCAAACGCTGCGGGTTACGAACGTGCCTCCCGCACGGATCATGTTCGCAACCCGAGCGTCCATTGTATTACATCACCAGTATCTAACTGACCTAACCAATTCCTTCCTATAAGGGTCCAACACAGCAGAAAATCCATTTTTGTTCAATCAATCTCAATTTTAAACATAAAGAAGCACTAAAGAGAGATGCAACTTTCCACTGACTGAGCTGAATGTAGCACACTTTTATTGCATTTTGTCTCTAAGATCTGAAACATCCCATCTACAACATTGCAATAAACATTTATAAACAACTATTTAAAATTTAGGTAAAGGTAAAGGTACCCCTGCCCGTACGGGCCAGTCTTGACAGACTCGAGGGTTGTGCGCTCATCTCACTCTAGAGGCCGGGAGCCAGCGCTGTCCGCAGACACTTCCGGGTCACGTGGCCAGCGTGACAAGCTGCATCTGGCGAGCCAGCGCAGCACACGGAACGCCGCTTACCTTCCCGCTGGTAAGCGGTCCCTATTTATCTACTTGCACCCGGGGGTGCTTTCAAACTGCTAGGTTGGCAGGCGCTGGGACCAAAGGACGGGAGCGCACCCCGCCGCAGGGATTCGAACCGCCGACCATGCGATCGGCAAGTCCTAGGCGCTGAGGTTTTACCCACAGCGCCACCCGCGTCCCAATTTAAAACTAAATTTAAAATTTAGTTTTCTGCAAAAACACAGTTATTTGCCCTGGCAATAAAGGAGAGTCCAAGGCACTCAAAGTCAATGGTCTATAAATAGTCACTAAAAGGTGCTGCTATTAAAGATATTGCCATTTGGACACACAGACCATGCTCAAAGCATGGAAAACACAAATAGGCAAACTATCCCCAACCCCATCCCCACTAATCCCCCTGGCGTACCACCCATTATTCCACCATGCAGCACAAAACCTCCAGATAAAAACCTGGCAAACCAAAGGCTTATATCGCCTAATAGACTTTTATAAAAATAACAAACCCTTGTCAACACAAGAAATACAAGACAAACTAGAAGACACCCAAATGCCCTGGTTAACACAACACCAACTACATGCCCTCTTAAACAACCCAACAGTAAAATCAGCAGCAACTAGGCCCCTGACAACCTTCGAAAACCTCCTCCTAACAACAAAAGGAAATGGTAAAGGGACGGTATCCGCAATATACAAAATACTACTCCAAAATCCCGCAAATCCCCTAGATGCAATCAAAAAACAATGGGAGAATGACATAGGCTATGAGATTAACCCCACTCAATGGACCAGAATGTGGTCTAAACCCCCCTTTAAATCCATATCAACGAAAAGAAAAGAACTCACACTGAAACTCACCTACAGGTGGTACCTAACACCAAGGAAACTAGCGCTAATACACCCAGGAACCTCACCAAAATGCTGGAGAGGGTGCACCTCCACAGGCACATACCTCCACATGTGGTGGGAGTGTCCCAAAATCCAACTATTCTGGACAACAGCCATACAAGAAATATGTAAAATAACTAAGCAAGTAATAGACATCACCCCAGAATTGGCCCTACTAAACATCTTCCAAGACAACAATGCCCATTTACACCACAAAGAACTCATAACCCACCTACTTTCAGCAGCCAGAAACACCATAACCAGACACTGGAGAGACCTGTCAGGAGTAAACATGGACCAATGGTACCAAATAGTATGGGAAACAGCCCTACTAGAAAAATTAACTAATAAACTAGAAACTGACACGGGGACAAACAGAAGAAGACGTCTTCACCCTGGTATGGCTCCCTTTATCACATACACAGCCCAACAGGACAATGACAATAATCCACCAACAGCATACAAATCAATATGGCTAACCTGATCCAAAACACCCACCCACCTCACTCACACACGAAAACAAAGATCACCACAGCCAATCACAAGCAGACAATCACACCCTAGGCCAACCCCAACCTCTCTCACCACGAAAGGAACACAAGTGAACAACACAAGCAACGCTGACACCAAACTCTACATACATTAAACATAATAGAAACACCGCCACCCGACCCCACCCCATCCATCTTCCCTCTCTCCACCCCCCTTTCTTTTTTCCTTTTTTTCTTCTCCCCCTAATGCCTCAACAAATGAAATGGATTTGTAAAAATGTTACATGAAAAAAATATTTATACGAGGCAGTACACTTACTTCTGTAAAACAAGAAAATCCTTAATAAAATATTTAATAATGAAAAAAAAAAAAAAAAAATAAAGATATTGCCATTTGGCAGTAGCAGGTAAGCGGTATCTAAAGTACAAAACTGAAAACAACAAATTCTCCATCCAGTCCCATTTATTGTTCTAATGTATACATCTCACTATAACCTACATCTTTCATAAATAGGACTGCCTCAGATTACTGCCCACCAGTTAGCTTAGCATGTGCATTTGTCAAAGTGTAATGATGAGCGATTCTATGCCATGCCTCCCTAGCCACTGAAATTTCAAATGAAAGCAGGCATTTTGTAGATCCCAATGCCATCCATCCACAGAGGGGTGTCAAATACATCAACTCCAAAATTACCTGTTCAGGAGGATTTGCAGAAAAAGGCTTTACAATCATTGTACTATTAGCTAAAAAGAATGCCTTATGAAATCTTCCTTCCAGTACTGAAAACTACATCTTTTAAAGTGAAAAATGAGGTGCAGAGGTTCCACCAAATAAACTTGTGAATTCCTACATTAAATCTTTGCAAATGCACTTGGGGAAATACACAAATGAACACCACAAAGCATATAAATTACCTGTAGCAGAACATTAAACTTAAAGGTATTAAACTTGCCCCAAATACTAAGTCAAAATAAGGATTATCTTTCTAGATAGATTGATGACAGAGATAGCTCATTATTTATTATAAATTCAATGTATAAATTCATTTGGGAAACGTCTCTAACAATTAAAACATCCCCCAATTTCATTAAATGACCTGAACTCCTAATTCTATTATCCCATGAATCAAATCTGACGTGCGCACATCAGAAGCTTATTTTGCAACACAAAAACGGAGAGATTTTTACATCCGCATAAAGGGGGCAAATTGACAATTTCTGCCCAATCTCACTTTAGCTCAACAATGAATTTAAGAGCTCTGGGTCTACCACCACAAACGTTTCGGAAAACATGTTTCTTCCTCTTTTTTGGACTATGTTCCCAGAACGCTACCCAGCAAGATGTGGTCAGTACTACACGCCTAAAAAGAACTGCACCACTTGACTTCAGAAAGAAACCCTGCCCCTTCTTATGAAGTCTTAGAAAGGATAAACACTCTGCAGCTGCTCAGAGGCACGTTTTATTTTTGCTCCAAAGGACACGGCCAATGTGAGGATATGGGTGGGTAAGTGGCGATGCTGTCAAAATGAGCACCGCCCCAGCAACAGCAGCAGCGGCGGGGGGGGGGGGGCGTGAAGGTTGGTAGTGGGGCCTGCAACCCACGATATCTGTAGAATGTCACGATTTGCGCTTCCATCGCCGGCAGCTCTCAGCCACTAGGCCTCGCCCGGCTGGTGAAATGGGCGGCCTGGACGGGCGCCGTGACCTTCGCGGGCGGCTTCCCCACGGGCTCCGCACACACTCCCCGCTTCTTCCGCTCCCCCTCGACCCACCACCGCCGCCCCTTCCTCCTCCTCTTCCACCCCGTCAGCGGCCCACCCGGTCAGGCACTCACCGGAGCGTGAGGACCCCGCAGAAGGGCCCGGCTGGCCACACAACCCGCGGCCCGGCACACAGAGGACGCCGCCATCTTGCCGCCTTAACCCCGGCAGCTCGGCAGGAGGAGAGGGAAGAGCGCGTGCGCGGGAGGAGGAGGAGGGGGGAATCAGAGATGGGGCAAGACGTCCGCATGCGCAGGAGAAAGATGGTAGGGCCCGTAGACGTCGTAAAGGGACTGTCTGTATTAGGAGGGAGTCACCAGAGAGAGGTAAGAAAGAGTTAAGAGTCACACACACAGGCTAAACTTACGGTAAAAGATTGAAGGCCGTCGTTGGTCAGGGGCCTCTCCATGGGCGTCGCTCGCTTGCGTCATTTGAGGGAAGAGGCCTATACCTCGCAGGGGAAGCCTGAGTGGAAAACTTGTTCCAGTTTAGACCGGAAGTGTGTCAAGAGGAGCTAGCAGTGCTTTTGGCGAATCTTCTACCTCTATGAGGGCAGAAGCCCGTGCTGTTTCTTTCAAAGTTAGCCCGGGATCTGACCCCGTGCTTGTGTGTTTCTGTATTTCCTAAGATACTTTTTTTAAAAAAAAATTATTCAAAATTAAAACAAAACATATTATTCAAAAACATATCATCCTTATTTCCCCCCCGTTTTTCCTCCCTCTCCCCACCCTCCCACACAAAACCCACCCCCCCAGCCCCGGCTTCCCTCATTTCCAGTCTTTGGTTTCTCTGAGAATGCTGTTTTTTGCATGTTACAAAGTTGTATAGATCCTCAAACTATTTGGCTGATTATTAACAATAACAAGTTTGTGAATGTTTATTCAAAGCCAGCCAAGGAGTCCAGTTCGCTTTGTTGCGTCTTCAAATACTTTGTAAAGGGTTCCCATTCATCTTTAAAGTCGCAGTTATCCTTGTCCCGTAGCTTATATGTCAATTTGCCAGTTCTGCATAGTCCATCAATTTTTCTTGCCATGATTCTTTAGTTGGGATTTCTTCAGTCTTCCATCCTTGTACTATTAGAACTCTCGCAGCCGTTGTTGCATACATGAAGATGTTTTTCAGCTTTTTTGGCAGATCTTTCCCTACAATCCCTAACAAAAACGCACCAGGTTTTTTAACAAATGTTAAATGGAACATTTTCTTCAATTCGTTGTATATCATTTCCCAAAATTACATTACAATCCCACCACATACGATAAAATGTCCCTGTGTTTCCTAAGATTTAATTCTTTCTCTTAAACATAAAAAGTCAGAGATAGGGAGGCTGAAGAAAAGAAGAACCCATCTCATAAAATGGACAGGCCATTGGTAAAATCTTCCGCTGTCCTGGGAGAGAGGATTTATAACGAGAGGGTTCCAAATTGGGTCTTTGACCAGGGTGAAATAAAGCCTAGTTTCGCCTCTGCCTTTTCCCCTGACAGGGACTCAAAGCGGCTTACTGCTAAAATAAAAGCAGCTAAAAACGGGGAAAGCAATCATTAACACAATCAGAAAGCAATCAAAACACACACAATCAAACATTAATAGAATCAAACTTCTAAAAATTCATCTCTTTATCCTCATTTTAATCCAAACAGGAAAATATTAAAACGCGCCCCCCCCCCACTTGCACAAAAGGTTCTTCAAGGCAGTGGGACCTGCAACATGATGTTTCAGCATGGAGCATTGATGTTCAGGGTTCGGTAGTGGCTGTGTTTAGTGAGATGGAGCTATGAAGCCACCATCCTGACACTTGCGCTGCTCCTGCTTTCCTGTATGGGGCTGGGGGCAGGGCAGTGGTGAGGTTGGGGCAATATGGCACTCCTGCCAGTTCAACCACACAGCCCTGATCTCGCCGCCACCTTGCCCCAGGCCTGTTAAAAAAAAGTGTCCATCCCAGCATTTGCGCTGCTCCTCTCAGTGTTTTATGCCCTCTACCAGGGTATTTCATTCCGTTCCCTCTGGCCCCTCTCCTGATTTTCCATTCCCTTCCACAACAGCCAGGCTACATTCTGTGGTTGCTGAGCACTTTTGGTCCTCTTTGGGCTGCTTATTGTTACAGAAGTCTGGAAACCTCTTTTTACTATGTGAGCAAGGTTATTTGGAGACAAGAAATCTGTTTTTGTCCATTTTAAACATTGTTCTTATTTATAGCATTTATATCTTACCTTTTTCTCCAAGGAGCTGAAGGTGGCATATGTGATTCTCCTCTTCCTCATTTAATCCCCACAACAACCTTGTGAGGTAGGTTAGGCTGAGTAGCAGTGACTGGCCCAAGGTCGCCCAGAGAGCTTCATGGCCAAGTGAGGATTTGAAATCTGGCCTCCCAGATCCTTGTCCAACACTCTAACCACCATACCATACTAGCTTGCAAAACTATTCACCAGGGGAGAGCCCCTATTTCCGGTATCCATCATCAGCAAACCCTTGACCTTACTTTGCCTCTTGGGGCAGTTTTGGAGACACCACTTTGAAAATGGTTGTCATGTGTGCCACTGTGCGCTAGAGGCCACTATCTTCCTTTCAGCCACTGCTACAACTGCTTATTGAGATGAGTTGCAACTATTCTATAATAAGCACAAATAGATTCAGAGTAAGACTAAACATTCTCAAACTTTTTTTAAAAAAAAGGAAACAGTGGTGGTTTACGTTTTGCTTCAGAAGCCATTTTGGTAAAAAAAATAAAACAAAAACTGTACAGGCGATTTCTCGGAAAATCTATAGAGTTTAGAGTAGACAGGAAATAGCCTTCACCAGTGTTGCAGCAGTTGAGGGGGTATGTGTTAGCAAAGTCACTTACGGTAAAGCAGATGGAGTCCAGAGAGAAAAGAAATCTTGATATTGCTTTACTGAGGAAAAAACAGGATAACTGAGAAAGGAACAGAGAGGTTTTGCCTTGCTTTACTTCAGGCCTTGTATAGACAGGGAGACATTCAGCTAAACATGCAGAGGAAAACTCCCTCAGAACTACCCAACCAATTATGGCACGTGATACCTCATCAAATATCACACCACTGTGCACGGTTACTAAGCAATACCTCCAACTGTCCACCTCTTGGCTAGTTGACTTTAACACTTACCGTTAGACTGCACATGGAATGATCTCTGCTGTTGCACTTTGCACAGGGAGTGAAGCTATAGAGCCACCCCCTTGACACTGGTGTTGTTGCTGCTTACTTGGACAGGGTAGGATAGGTGCTGGGGAGATCAAGGCTGCACGGGTGGCACCAGCAAGAGAGCCAAATTGGTCCCAATGGGGCACCTCTGTAGCCTGAACCTCACCACCAAGTTAGCATCAGAGTCACTGGTGTCAGGGGGATGGCACTGTGGTCTAAACCACTGAGCCTCTTGAGCATGCCAATCGGAAAGTCGGCTGTTCAAATCCCCATGATGGGGTGAGCTCCTGTTCCTCTGTCCCAGCTTCAGCCAGCCTAGCAGTTCGAAAGCATGCCAGTGCAAGTTGATAAATAGGTACCGCTGTGGCGGGAAGGTAAATGGCATTTCCGTGACCCAGAAAGCTGTCTGTGGACAAACGTCGGCTCCCTCAGCCTGCAAGCAAGATGAGTCCTGCAACCCCATAGTTGCCTTTGACTGCACTTAACTGTCCAGAGGTCCTTTACCTTTTACCTTTCTTCCCCGTCATCAGTGCTGCTACTGCCAATGTGTAAAGTGGGAGATTAGCATACCTTCCAACACCTCAACAGCAAAATCCTGGGACGCAATCTTCCTTGACACCATCTTCCCGTTTTCTTCTCATGAGAGGATGGCAGCCGTTTTGGACATAATGATCTCGCACAATTTCACACCCTGATTTCTCCCCGAAAAAAGCGCTTTTCTCAGGCACGGTGCCCAAAACTGCACGCTTTGGGGTGCTGAGCAAGATCATTGCCCCAGGAAATATCATGGTGAGAAAATGCTCAAGATCACTGCTTCCAAAATGTCAGCCATTCTCTCACGAGAAAAAAACGGGATGTCCTGGTTTTTCTGGGACACTTGCGGGGTATGGGATAGAGGACTCAGACAATGACCCTTGCTGTAAGAACCAGTTTGTAGTGCATGTGTGCACACAAGAAACTTGCCTGGGCAGGCCTGAGAAAGAGCTTAGTGCAGTCACAGTGGCCATGGGTGATCAGCTACGACTAATCATTGGCAGGGATACCTTGCCCACAGTGTTTCATGTGCTGGTAACCTCGTGTTTGCATTATTGCAATGTGCTCTAAGTGGGGCTGCTTTTGAGCTTGGTTTGGAAGTTTCAGTTATTGCAGAACACTGTGGCTGGGCCATGGGAGAGGAACCTTATTCAACCTGAGGGCAGAGGAAGTTTTAGGGTAGCACAACCAGTGTGGTTGTACTGGGTGCCACACTGCAGGGGATGCCACAAGAATACTGTAGAACAGAGCTCGAGAGGTGGGGTGTGTGTGTGAATTTTAGCATAGCAAAGACCACGAGCCCAAAGTCCACCACTTCTTAGGGCCACATTTCTTCCTGAGCAACCTTCTCATATCTCTGCTGCATCAATGTGTTTTGCTGCTGTCAATGTTTTAAAGTGTTATATTATTTTGCATAACTTACATTTTATTATGTGCTTTGTCAGTTATTTTGTGCCCTACTCTGGGATATTTTTTTTTTTTTAAAATAAAGAGCAGGTTAGAAATCTTCTAAATAAATAAATTATATTTTAGCCTCCCCACCCCCAGCACCACCACTCAATTGAGCAATGAAGCCGAAAATTCCTGGTGAATTGCTTATGAAGGCCTTTTATGTATTATTTAGGTTGTATTCAATTTTTTAGTCTCAGCAGTCAAATGTAATATCATTTGGGCCTTTGGGCTTTGGGTAAAATTCTGAGTCACTGGAGGGGACTTAAATGGAGGTGGGAGGATTCTCAAAGGAGCACAGTAAAAACAAAGCAGGACAATGTTGAATAAAACCCAGGATTAGATTTATAGCAATTTACCATCCTTGATTTATCTGAAAAGAAGTTATCTTCTGGCAGCTTTGAGGCCGAAATCAAAAGGTCGCTTGCCAGAATGTATAGAGATTATTATTTTTTCTGCATTAGCAACTGCTAACACTGAAACATTAAAAGTACAGTTACATTGTTTATCTGCAATCCCATATAGCTACTTGCATGGGAGGAAGTCATATTGAACTAAATCAGGCTCTCTTCTGCATAGCAGAAGCATGGAGCCTTTTTTAGCCTGAGGTCCACATTCCCTTGTTGGCAACCTGCTTGGGGCCACTTGTAAGTTGTGGACGGGGCAAGAAGCAAAAGTGGGCGGGGCAATGGGTGTGAACGTTACCATTGTCCAGTCAGCTAGTTTTTACTTGCCTGTTGTGTGTACACCTTCGCACACCCCTCTCTGTCTTCTGTCCAGGGCAACCAAGGGTTATCCTTCAAGCTGTGAGATACAAGGCGTGTTATTCTGTACCAGAAGATACCCTTTAATGGTGAGCCATGAAGCAACCTCGCTTCCCCTTCCATGGCCATGGTACAACCAGAAGGAAAACTCAGATCCTAAATCCCCACTGCCTTGCGGGATATCTTCAGGAGAAGAAAATGCTAAGGAGTAAACCCTACATGAATCTGGTGGGATGGGGCCTCGTATACCTCCTTCTGACAACTCCTGCAGACAAGCTGGTGCCAAATGTTTTGCCCTGCCATAAGAAGGGGGACAGGAAGGGCATTTTGTGCAAATCCTTGTCTTGTTTAGTCCTTTTTGGGGGTGATGTGTAAACCCTAGCAGGGTGGCCCAGCTTTTCATACCAAGATGGCCACAAGGGTACTTCAACATGGAACCTGCAGGCTGCTCACAGCCTTGTCACGTGGAGGTGGTGGCAGGAGTGGGGGGAAGCAAGCCCAGAATTTGGCGCCCCCCCACCCAACCCTCGTACTGTCTTCCCAAAGCTGGCTAAGTGAAGTTTCTACCACCCATCTGGCTGGGTTTCCCCAGCCACTCTGGGCGGCTTCCAACAAAAGATTAAAAATACATTAAAACATCAGTCATTAAAAACTTCCCTAAACAGGGCTACATGTGGCCTTTGGGCTGTGCATTGGACCACTCTGTGCCTAGACCATAGAGACTTGTGTGTGACTTGGCCATTATGGTAATTAGCAGCTTTTGGATAATAATTCATTTCATTATTTGATTTGAAATGTTAACTTATTTTACAAGCGATGTCTAAAATTCTCATTAGTTGTTGACCATGCTCTGAATGCATCTGAGAATGAACTGCTGTTCCATTCCGCCCTAATACTTGGGCAGATTATTCTGGAAATAATTTGGTATGATGGGAACCATAAATTGCATAAGTGATAAATAATGTTACAAAAGTTATGTGCCTCTCTCTGTGTGTGTGTGTGTCAGTTGGTGGCAAGAGTCCATGGCATTCCAGGCAGTCACCCAGGGTCTGTGGTCCTTTGGAGAATTGAGACACGGCAGAAACAATCATAGCTTTCAGAAATACAGTTTATTCACCTATTTACATCTTCAGTCTGCATGGCGGGAGTCCAGATCTTGGTCATTTCAAGCATGGTCATTTCAAGAGAATGCAGCCCTGGAGTCTAAGGCATCTCTCCCATCCAGCCTGCAGCCAGCCTCCCCAAAGATGGATCCCAGCCTTTCTTCCTCTTTTTCCTTCCCAGAACCCCTTGCTTCCGGACTCCCTTTTCCTGTCACCTCAGACACACCCACCCCATGACCTTGGCAGCATCTGTCTCCCCAGGTCAATGGATTCCTCTCAGATGGCCCATCAACCCCTTTTGTCATGTTAACAGATTTACTCTTCACTAGGCCAGCCAGGCTGGTTTGCATAAGCCAGCCCAGGGATTCCTGGTCTGGCACAGTCCTGCAGCTTCTACTTTCATCCATTAATCAAAAACCTACCATTTATTAATTTTTAGGGTTTTGGGGGGTCCCCACCCACAAATTTATAACAATAATAAAGGACATAGTATCTCATTTCTTACAAGAGTTTTCCTAAGTAAAATCTGTACATATTTACATTTTTCTTGACCTTGGGGTTTGGGGTTTGCATTCATTGATTTCTTCTGAAGTGAATGGAGTTTAGCAAAGCTTAGCAAAACTGGAACAGCACTCAGGCAGAACAAAAATGTATGTCCGGAATATTTTCTGCAATTACACCAGTTGTTAGTCGCACTCTGCTAAATGTATACCTCATACAAAATGGGCAAGGACATTTGATATATAAGATTCCACATATCTAAAACAAATTAAGAGATGGGCACCAGTGCATCCCACCCATTCCAGTGGGGCTCTTTCACATGAAATCTTTCTCAGGTCAGACTTCCATTCATTTATTATTTCAATACACCTATAATTTTCCAGAAGCAGTAATATTCCTCTTGACCTTGCCTCCTGTATGTTGTCTCAGCAAGCTGTAGATAGGGTCTATTGAAATGGGGCAAGTTCAAAGATATAAAGCTGCTTTATACAGAGTCCGTCTAGATCCACCTTTTCTGCTCTGGATGATGGCGGCTCTCCAACAGGTCCTTTTTATCACTGATTATTTGATCCTTGTAACTGGAGATGCCACGGACATGGTTTTAAAATTGCAATCCAGGAGAGAAGGAATAAGTAGGGACTCAAGGTCCCCAGAGGGAATATGTTAGTGTTCTGCCTCTCCAGCTTGATAGGCGCTTTGACACAGGTAGAGAATGCTGCAGATGACCCTGTGCTTCACCAAATCAGTTGGCAGGATTCAGTGGAAAAATCCAAAAGTATCCATAGCAACAAGTGAGGCACTTCCAATGTCTGAAAGGGGTCTCTCCCACCCACCCTGGCAGGAATTGTGGAGTTTTGAAGTAGGTGGGCAGGAAGGCCCTCAACCGAGTCTCAGTTTCTTGAAGGTCCCAATAAGTCTCTCAAAAAAAAAGCCAAAGCAGGTTCCCACCACCCAGTGGTGGAGACTCCCACATAACTATTTTGAAAAAGGCAATTCATACAGTCATCTGAAAAGGTGCTGGCTCCTCTGTGAGAACTGGAGGAGCAGATGATTCCGCTGGTTACATTTTAGTGGCGTTGTTATCCTGTGAAGATGAAGAATAAAGTTGCTAGCATTGATTTCTGAGAACCTCAAATTAACTCAACATTTCTCTTCCGTTTACTTGTTCACTATCTGAGGTATCCATATCTCTGATAGAGATGTATATAGATTCCTCTAGCGCCTGTTCAGTCATAGCCTTTACATGTCCATCAAAGAAGCTGTCAAGATCTGCCTAAGGAATAACTCTTGTACAAACTGGATGGTAAATAGCTTCTTGTTTTCACAACATCCCCTCTAAGGGAGCTTCCAGGCCAGCAGTTTACTGAGCATTTACAAGTAACTTGCACAGATGTTATACAATGTCACTGGCTTATTGAGCGATAATCCTGACATGTCTGCACGAATGTTACACAACACTGCCAGTTAGAGGCTGTTATCCTACAATTTCTACTGCAATTTCCCATCACTTTTCTTGTCAAACTTTTTGCAACGAGAAAAGTGATGGGATAATTTTACCAGAACATGCGGATCAACAACCAACATTTGTGCAAACAGACTTGCCTGCAATTAAAACACGTATGTTGGGGGTTTACATGACTGCTCAGGTATGGCAATTCCTACAAGATAAGTCCCATGTTACAGTTGTGGAAGCAAGGTCAAGGCGAAGAAGTAATGACTTGCCTCAGGCAAACTAGTAGTCCATGGCAAAAAAGGCATTTGATCAAGCAACTTCCTGGTTAGTATATTGGCTGTGTCTTAGTTAAACCAATGTACATTTGATGGGCAGAGCACACAATGGATGGGGGCAGTCTTCTTAGCACGCTCGAGATATGGTGCACCCATTCTACAAATCTGGCTGTGGAGTGTGCACTGGCCTTTCAATGTAGGGAGGCCTAATGACATATATGATGGAAGACTGAGCTGAGCAAGGTAGAGGAATAGATCCATCATTATGGTCTGAATGCCTGGCTTGGAAGTAGCAATGCGATATTGCCCTGTGAGATTTCTAGGACTAAAGTTTCCAGCCAGGAAAGGAAAGGAAAGGAAAGGAAAGGAAAAGGCTAACTACGTACTGTGACAGTTTGTGGCAAGCTCTCTCCCCGGTTCCTGGTAACATAGGTAACAGCATCATGTACAGATGGGAAAAGGTGCTGCTTGGTGATGGTCTGGCTGAAGAAATTGCCTCTTTCCAGCTGGGTAATGACAGAAGCTACAGGGGGAAAGACAAGGAAAAGCCACGTGAGGGTGCCATTTCAGCCCACTGATGCCAGCCACACTAACCATGAATGCCGTTTCAATCCACTTCCGCCAAATGATGCCAGCCACACTAACCATGAATGCTCAGATTTACCTATCACCTGTTTTCCCCTCTAAGCCAAAAACATAGGGATTTGCTGGCTGGATCAGAATAAAGGTTTGTCTCCAATGGTGGCCACCCAGATACCCCTGGGAGCTCACAAGTTGGGCATGACGTAAGAGCCAGGGCACAGGGCAGTTTCTTCACTTAGGGCCAAACCAGGGATAATGCTGATGTGGGAGATCTATGATTAGGACCTCCCACTGAGTGTGAGGAGTGTGTCTGCTAACTAACTAGCAGCCCCCTGCAGTTGCTCTGGGAACTGGTGCTCTGGAAAAGAGTCTTTCACCTTTTCATCCCTTTCCCTGATCTAAATCATTCCCGGATGCTATTACCACCACAGGGGAGATGGGAGACACTTTTGCTCTTGAAGTTGCTGATCTAATGGGGGGGGCAGAGGAAGATTTAGACTGGGCAGAGGTCGGCTGCTGTGATGCCTTCCAGATGTTGTGGGACCCCAACCAGTAGCAGCTGAAGCAAATGTAGTGAATTCTCAGCGTTATACAAGGACTTTTGTGCCACATATCCTGAATCGTTAACAAGAGTCAGGTTCAAACTTTAGCATGAGCAACTGTGCGTCCCACTGTCATTTAACACAAATTATAGTCACTTATGTCCTGGGCCCTCTGCCACAGCATCTGAATCACTGGCTCCTTCTGCCTTTCAGTAGTACAATTTTAACCAATTCAAAGGCTTGATGGAATAATGTGACTATGAAACAGAAGAAGTCCAAAGGGCAGGAGGAAGTGCGCATCCAGGACAAGGCTGAGAACGGAGGAATCACCAGCGATAGAAGATGCACACACTCTCAGGTTATGTTCGGCTTTGGGGAATCGGATCCATCCCCAGGTGGCAGTGAAGAAGCAGATCAAACGAAAGGAGTGTTCTTACCAGTTAGTTTCTTTAATAATCACAGTGAGAGACAAAGGAATGCATATCTCTTATAGAAATGGCATTGTTCCCAGTACAGTGGTACCTCAGGTTAAGTACTTAATTCATTCCGGAGGTCCGTTCTTAACCTGAAACTGTTCTTAACCTGAAGTACCACTTTAGCTAATGGGGCTTCCTGCTGCCGCCGCGCCGCCGGAACACAATTTCTGTTCTCATCCTGAAGCAAAGTTCTTAACCCGAGATACTATTTCTGCATTAGCGGAGTCTATAACCTGAAGCGTATGTAACCCGAGGTACCACTGTACAGGCTCACCCTCTCCTCCCCCATTAATCTACGTCACTCCTACGTCAGGTAATCTGAGCTTGTTGCCTCTGCGCTCTCTGTTCTATCACTCTCAAACCACTCTAGTCTTAGGCAAAGGGAGGTCCAGGAATGCTGTCCAAAGATACTGAATCTGCCAGCCGTCTCTCTCTTGGTGTTTCCTCTTCTAGCTGTTCCTCACCCAGTATTTCCCAGCTTTTCCCCTCTGGACTATGCCCCTCTGCAAACCACTGTTCTAAATCAATACTGTCCTCCTGCCCTTGGGAAGGTTCAGGAGAAGGGTGTGTGTGGCTCCCACCATTCCTCCCCAGTCCAGCCCCTGACAGGCTATGACTTGCTTACTGCAGTGTGGCTGACCCGTGACTTCCTAGAATTCCTTACCATGGCAACCGACGAGAAACACGTCCACTTCAATCTCTTGGAAATCTTTAAATATCTGCCAAGGACAACAAGAAAAAACAACTGAGACAAGATGCTTTGCAGAAACCTGAGGGGTTGCATTTGCCTATCCTGCCACGGCAGGGCAGCTTCAGATACTAGGAAGTTATTCCACAAAGCCCACATGTTATCTGCATGGACCTCCCTGTGCAATCTTTTGCTGAAATCAATGAATTTTATGTGGGTAGTAATGGCCATTGGGCAGTGGTTAAGATGTCTGCCAAAGAAAAACAGAGAAAATAAAATGCCTTCCTCACATTTGGCTGATTTGGATTATTTGGTGTCTTAAATGCCAGTAATTTCTGTGACAGATGTGATTGGCAGAGAGAGAGAGAAGCAATTAACAGATGAAAGCCGGTGATGAGCAAGGTTCAGAAGCACAGATTAGCCATCACAATGTAATCGAAGCCACAGTTTGTTGGAAACCCCTTTTGAAGGGCCAACGAGACACGATGTTAAATCTCTCCTTTAAAGTTAGTATTAGCACCAGTGGGGAATGCAAAAAACAAAAACCCAAAACAAACACCAGCTTCAGAGGAGGGATTTTCCTCAGGACTCCAGCAGGGGAGGAAAGGGCTTAATTCCTTCTGCCACATATCAATCCCCTCCTCACAGCACCTTCAGCTGGTGCTGTCTGCATTTTAAGAAACCTACAGGTTTAGATGCAAAGCTGCATTTAACCTCACATGGAGTTTGGCTCTCAGTCATCTAGCTGGCAGTCAAACAGCTCAGGCCATCTGAAACCCCTCCCTTTCCAGAGGTCTTCCTCATGAGGCAGATTTGCCTTTTAGATTTGGCTGCACATAGAACAACCCTCTCATGACGGGTGTCCCTCTTCTGATGGTTGACCCCTCCTTACGTTTTTAAAGGTCTTTATGCAGACGGTGTCCACAAAGTTGACAGGGGTGAGGTCCAGGATGAGCGAGTGAAGAGGAGGCTTCTTCAGTCCCAGGGAATGCAAAGTGGGTTTGCCAGAAGGTTGTGGCTGGCTCTGGGTTTGTGGGGCCAAGTCAGTCACACTTCCATTAGCAGCAGTGGCTGCTGTGTCATTTCCCTGTTCCTGTGAGGAAAGAAAAATCACAGTATTTTCCCCCAACATGAAACAGTGTTCTGGCCATCAGGTTTTCTCAGGTTGGTTCTGCTCATAATGTGTCTCAGCAACACTAAGGGTGGGTGAGAAATTCAATTCACTTCACATTTAATTTGCACTTTCCAAAACACTATATGGAACAAAACACAACCACCCTTGGAAATTCACACTTCTGCAAATTTCGCAGTGCAGTTCTCTAGTCAAGCAACAAGCACAAGAATGCACATACTGCAGTAAAGTGTGCCTAAAAATGCATATGCTAGCGCACTTATATTAATACAGTGGTACCTCAGGTTAAGTACTTAATTCGTTCCGGAGGTCCGTTCTTAACCTGAAACTGTTCTTAACCTGAAGCACCACTTTAGCTAATGGGGCCTCCTGCTGCTGCCGCTGGAGCACGATTTCTGTTCTTATCCTGAAACAAAGTTTTTAACCTGAAGCACTATTTCTGGGTCAGTGGAGTCTGTAACCTGAAGCGTATGTAACCCGAGGTACCACTGTATGATAAAAGTGATTCATATTAAGGGAAATATAAAAATTAGGGAAAATATGCTTTGCATAAAATCTGGATATATGGCAAAATTGCATACAAAATGCGTATATTAAAAGTTCGAACTGAAATGCTGCTGAATTTTCATAAGGACTTTAAAAATAATCACAAACCGATGTGGAAATGTGGAGAATTGAAGTTAAGTTTGGGGAAATGAGGAACTAAGAGAAACCAAAACTGGCAGATTCACCCATCTCTATTCAGAAGATGTACAGAGAGCTGCAGCCGCAAGAACAGCCCTTTTGGAAAAGGAGCAGGGGTGGACTATGCTAATCTTTTTTAATATGGCCAAAATTTGGCACCCCCGAATGGATCGTCTCAATTATGGATCATCTCAGTTTTGCTCCCCCTTGGCTTGGAGCCCTGTGCAAGGGAACGGCCCGCAGTGCCCTAAATCTGGCACTGAAAGGTGGTTTCCATCTCCCTCATAATATGCTGGACTCTGACATCTTTGGGATGTTCCTTTGCACAGGTAGGCAGCCTATCGGATATTTTGTATCTCATATTGTTTTGGGTTTATTCCATTTATTACAATCAATTTATGAGTTGTCTAAAAGAAAAAATCCTTTAGGCAACAGGTTCTGTTCTCATTGGCCTGGTTCACATGTCATGTCGTGCCAAGTCATGGCACTGCAGGAACTCATGGGCTCCCAGGGAGGAAACTGCAGCTGCTGGGCTCCTCAGCGATTGTTCTGTTGCTGTGCTGAGTGAAGCCATGATTTCACTTAACATGTTGTCGGAAACCAGGCTTGTAGTTCAGGACAAACCTTGGTTATAACCTGTGGTCAGCCTGGAGAGCGCTAACTCACAAGCCTAGGTTCACATGACACATTAAGCCAAATCAGGGCATAGCAGAGCAGCAGAGTGACAGGAGAGGAGCAAAAAAGCCACAGCCTCTTCTCTGGGAGCCAGCACATTTCCACTAAGCCGTGGTTTGACTTTGTATGACATGTGAACCAGGCCAATGGGAAGGTGTGCGTACAGTCCTTGCAGTGGGGAAGCTCCTCAGTGAAGAAGAGGCATAGAACTGATTGCAAACAGAAAGAACAGGTCACTTTGTGTTTTGCAACCCTCTCTTTGTGCCACAGTTTTTCTAGCAGCTCTGGTGGGGAGTCACTTTATCAACAGTATGAAGGGTCTGCGGCAAGTCTACTCGGAGACAGACCAACACATTTTGGTGCCTGAGACAACAAATCCAGATTATTCCCCACGGTACCAAACATCATCATCATCACCAACAACATCATCACATGGGTTTTACTCATATGATCATGTTAAATGCCTGCTCCCGGAAATGTTGACCACAACTTTCTTTCATGCCCAGATTGATAAATACCTGTGGCCTTGCCTCCATATCTATATTCACAAACGCCAGGTTGTTGCTCCCAGAGTCACACACCGTTTTGATCTGAGAAGTCATTTTCTGTTACCAAAACAAGAGCAGAACAGAAGTCCGAGTAAACTCAAAGCAATTGTGTCTCCATGTGACATTTTGAGAAGCTCCATAAATTACTTCTGGGACAAAGAACAGCAGGGCAGAAGGAACAGAGAAGTTACATCTTCTGGCTTGAGCTTCTATAGAAAGCTTCAAACCCTGTGCCCTTATGGCTGGAAGATGTCCTTGAACTATGACATACACGATAGAGCAAGGTGTGTAAGCATGTGTAGAAACTAGACCCACCCTACTGTTCATTGCTCTGGCCACTTTTGCCTCTGGCCCTGCTGACCTCTGGTTTGTGGCCACTGTAAGGCTGCCGAAATGGAATATGGCCCTTGTGCTGAAAAAGATTCCCCACCTAAATGGATCTCACTTCAGGTTGAAAATGGGGTAACTATCCTGTAAACCTCCAGATGCTGGAGGACTCCAATCCCCATCAGCTCCAACCAGCATGGCCAGTGGTTGGGAATGATGGGAGTTGTAGTCCAACAGCATCTGAAGGGCTACAGGTTAATGATCCCCGAGTTAAAACATGGCTGCCTTAGGCTGTATTAACAAAATCTGCAAGTATTTACAAAACACCAAAGGTCCTTTTAGCAAAAGCGTGCTTAGTGTCATGTGTGAACAGGTCCCCACATGAAAACAATGATTTAGCCGCCTTTCCTTCTTGCCTCAAATTATTTATGAATTAACTACACACACAATAAACTTCATGGAGACACACTAATTAGTAATTTAGAAGAAAATGGTCCACCTTTGCCTTCTTGGCTTCCTTCTTGTCTTTCTTCTGCTTCTTCTTTAGGGCTTTTTTCTTCTTTTCAACAAGACGGTCCACATCAAAGCCACACTGAAAAAGAGACATATATTTATGTACCAGCAGCTATTGGTTTTAGCAAGGTATAGATCACTCTAGCCTGTTTGCTTGCTTCTTATGCGCTCCTTGTACATGTTATATAGTGATACCCATAGCCATGGTCTATGAGCCTCTTTCATACTATGAATTCTGTTTGGCTTCTGCAAGTGAGGCCCAACTTTGGAATACAGTCCAAAGCCATTTTATTTCTAATGCATTGGTCACCATGGAGACCCTCTGCCCCCCCCAAGAAATATGAGGGACATCTTCTGAACCCTCCTCACCTTCTTCTTTAAGGCTTCTGCATACAGGTCAGCATTAGCAAAATAGATCGTAGCAGAGGAGCGGAAAATCTTCACGCCTGGGATCTCCTCAGCCTAGAAACAGAACAAAACAAGGCGTTAGTACAGTGTCATAGTAGCTTGAACTCAAGGAGACTTTTGTTCAGATCCCCACTCAGCCACAAAGCTCACCAGCTCGCTGTGGACAAATTACAATCTAACATCCCTCAAAGTGGTGTTGTGAAAATAAAGCAGAAAGTAAGTTCATGGTTGATCTCCTGTGCTTCTTGTTAGGATTCTTGCCCCGTGTTGCAGTCATGGGATTGGTTTTATCACATGATGGTGTATGTTTTCATTCCACATAGTGGGAAGTGACGGAGACAGGATGTTTGTATTACTGTGTTTCCGTGATGTAGGACGTTTGTTCCTTTGTCTCTTTCTCTTTGCTGTTTGATGCTGACGAGGAAGGAGCTGAGTTAGAATGCTCCGAGTGTATTATACGTAAATAAAGTAGTTTAGCCAAAATGCTGTGCTACTGAGTCTGTTACGCTGACTGCCAGGACTCTGCTGATCCTGAAGTGGGCTGATGCCTGCAAGTCATCAATCGCTGTGATGTTCGGGCTGGAGAAAGCTTTTGAAGCTCCAGAACGACTGACCAGGAGGGAGAGAACATGCCAGTCGGGCATGTGTCTCTGCTGGATGCCTACTCATGTGCAGGACCTCCTAACAGGTGGGATAAGTATTTGATAAACAAACAAACAAACAAAGGCTAGGCTTTTGTACAGGGCATGTGATTTCTGTGGCTAGAAATCTGGATTCGAGATAGCACTTGGTGAAACGCTTTGTGGTTGAACAGAGGTTGCTCCTAGTAAGATGTGAGCAAAAGGGCTTGAGAAGGATAAACCCTTCTGCATCTTGCGATTGTCTCATCCCAGCCCTCCATTAGACATGTACATCTTCCAGGCTCTTTCCGTTCATGTTTGCTTTGGTCCAAGAGGAAGCACAGTGCTTTGTTTTTCAAAGCACACACGCCATTTTCTACATAGCCCCTCCATAGTCATCTCCCCGAGTCATTTTCCAAATGTACTTTACCTTTTGATATTCAGCTACATCTCTGTAAACATCAGTTGTGGACACTTGTCCTAAAATGGAATAATGGGGCCTTAGAGAAGATGGAAAAAGAGGGATTAGCAAAGACTCTGTTCAGGCTACTTAGCAACAACTTCATGACACCTGGAATTTTATGTTGATGGAGAAGTTGCCAAATTCATATGGGTGAAAGTTGGAACTTGTTCAATACACCAGTCTGAAATTATGATAAGTGTCAGTTCTGGCTAGAAGTATCTCCTGGGAGCTGAACACATTGGTCAGACATCAACACACTTTCATCATTACAGACAGCTGCATTGATGAATGCCAAAGACTAACACAGTTCCTTTAATATTTATTTATTCCCAAATGTCTGGCCACTGGCTGTCCTTAAGAAGAAGGGCTATGAAGTGCTTCTGTTCAGGCTAAAACTACTGGTAATGATACATCTTTCCTGGCTATGGCTTGCTCTCTGCTTTGGCTCTGATTCCTGGCTTGATCTTCTGGGTTCCTGGCTCAGCTCTGACATTTTAACTGAGTGGCACCAGGAGGTGGTACCAGAATGCTACCATTTTTCTGCTACCTGGCAAAGGGCCATTCCCAAGCCCACCTCCCCCTCTCCTTTGCAGGCCAAGGAATACTCACATCTGGGTCCGGAAGATTACGGTGAGAAGTGAAAAGGCCACAGCAACCCCCAGCCCCATGTCAAGATTCAACACAATAGTAGCTATAAAGGTTACAACCCAGATCAGCTTCAGAGCGTGGGAGGGGGGAGAGAGAGAGAGAGAGAGAAACAATAGAGAAAGTGTAAGTACAATTGCCCCCAAATAGCAACAGAAGACTTAAGGAAAACTTGCTGAATTATGCAACTGTCTGTCCTGATCTACAACTGTTCCCTGTTGCACCAAGCCATTGGGACTGTTCAGAAGCTTCAAGGCAATGACACAGAGGTCTGTTGCCTCCATGGCAACTGCAGAGTTATCCAATGGGTGGCAGAGGGTGGCTAATATACATTGTGCAGGCTACTGTGGAGCCCCTGGGTGCTCCTATGCATTATTATTATATTTATACCCCTGTCTCTTTACTGAAGGGACGTGGGTGGTGCTGTGGGTTAAACCACAAAGCCTAGGACTTGCCGATCAGAAGGTCGGCGGTTTGAATCCCTGTGACGGGGTGAGCTCCTGTTGCTCAGTCCCATCTCCTGCCAACCTAGCAGTTCGAAAGCACGTCAAAGTGCAAGTGGATAAATAGGTACTGCTCTGGCAGGAAGGTAAACGGCGTTTCCGTGCGCTGCTCTGGTTCGCCAGAAGCGGCTTAGTCATGCTGGCCACATGACCCGGAAGCTGTACCCGGCTCCCTCGGCCAATAAAGCGAGATGAGTGCCGCAACCCCAGAGTCGGCCATGACTGGACCTAATGGTCAGGGCTCCCTTTACCTTTTACTCTTTACTGAAGTACACAAGGCAGCATAAAATAGTGCAATGCAAACAAAATATGAAAGATAGCCTAAAAACTAAAGCAGAGCTAAAACAATAGCTTTAAGCCAGCAATTTTAAAGAGCATGCATGGAATCATCCAGGGATGTGCTGTTCCTGCATGTACCAGGAGATGCAAGGAAGCATGGATCCTGGATGCACCGTGGGACGCATGGTAGCCTTTGTGAAGGCTGTCGCTTTGATCATGTAAGCTGAGCTTTCTGTACTTCACTGCAAAGTTTGCAACGAGCCCAAGCCTCTCAGCTGCAGTTGCCAACATTTATGGCACTGCCATGTGCCAGGAGCAGCAGGCAAAACAGTCGCTGGGGTAACGAAGCCAGACACACAGCAGGGCTCTGGAAAATACTTCAATAAATATAAATTATTTGCAAGTGAGATCTGCAGGAAATACATATTTGAATGCTGCCCCTACTTTCATTTTTGGGTAAAACAACAACAACAGAAACATTCTGGCACATAGAAAACTAGAATGTTTGGGATAAAAACTCTAGCACTGAGATTTCTTCATGACTCAAGGGTTCTATGTGCAGGGATTCCCCAAACCCCCACTCCTGAGGGGAAGCATTCAAACATGCAATCCTGTGCATTTTAGTTAGGGAGGACCAGTTTGGTTTCACATATTTTTCCAGGTGTCTGTTAGACAGACCTCTGGTTTGCTGTTCTGGAGTTTAGCAAGAACTGCACTGCGTGATCGTGCTGATTGTGTGGCGCAGCAGTGTCAAAGCAGGGCCACAGCAGGCTAGCAGATGAACAGACTTCCCCTTATTTCTATGGAGCTCCTCTTTTCTTCCTTACCAGGTCAGTAACGTTGGATCTCCAAAGCATACGGATATCTCTAAACTGCTTGAACATGCCCTTCAGGTTGACAATAATGATAGAAGCTAAAATGGCCTGAGGAACAAGGAAATTGCAAAGATATAATAGAGAACAGGGAGTATCATAACACCCACAACACAGAAAACAACATAAAAGCCTCAGTTTAAAGAGACTTTTATTGCATAGTTGTGAAGTCTTCAAAGGGAGATGTGGCTGTTTAGTCTTGCGTGTAAATGATAGTTTTCTTTGATATTCTATGTGCCCCTCTGCTGCTGTTGTCTTTCACAAGCTAGATACATATGGCGCTGGCACATATAAAGACACCCCCTGCCCCAATAGTTAATCCCACCAACAGGTAAAATGAAACAAACAGTATACTCCTGTGCATGTTTACACAGAAATAAGTCCTGTTGAGCTTATTCCCGCGTGTTTAGGATTGTAGCCAAAAACTGAGAGCACTAAGTTTGTTTAACGTACCTTGGGCAGCTGTTCAAAAAGTGCCCCAATCTTCAAAATGGTCACTAGGAGGATGAGACAGGAGACCAGGGCAGCCACCTGCAGAGGAGAGCATAGAGATGAGTACCGGTAAGTGCAAGGCTGGTTGGAGTAGAAAAGGGCAATAACCCCCCCCCCCCCCAATGCACACACATACACCCTCCCTTTTCTAAACTACTGACGACATTCCATTCGTTTTCCTTGTGAAAAACCTAGAGCTCCTCCAGACTTATCGAACATTCCTCCTGTTTGGATTGCACAAAGCTGACATGGAGGTTAGACTATGCCTGGTCTTTACTGAGCATTCATCCTGATTTGCTTGCAGGGTGCTTATACCCCGTTCCCATGAATCATTCATCCAGTGCATTTCCCCCTTGCTTTTCCAATCTGGAAAAAGACTGCTTCTTCTTTTTTTTCAAAAAAAGGGGGGCATTGTTGCACTGGAGTGAGAGAGCACTTTAACCCACTTTAATTGTGCAAAGCCATGTTTCTCAGAAGGTGCTCGAATCCCTCCTGAAAAACACTTGACAGTCTGGAGCAGGGGTCAGCAAACCTTTTCAGCAGGGGGCCAGTTCACTGTCCCTTAGACCTTGTGGGGGCCCGGACTATATGAACAAATTCCTATGCCCCACAAATAACCCAGAGATGCATTTTAAATAAAAGCACACATTCTGCCCATGTAAAAACACGCTGATTCCCAGACCATCCGCGGGCCAGATTTAGAAGGTGATTGGGCCGCATCTGGCCCCCGGGCCTTAGTTTGCCTACCCATGGTCTGGAGGCACCCCTAGGCTCATGCCTTGCCCTCAGACTGGATACGGTTCCCTGTGAATGGATAGCCAAACCATCCTCAGCACATCAAGTCATTTGTGTTCTATGTTCTGTGAAAATAATGGCAGGGAGAGGGAGATTTGACCTAGGCATTTGATGCAAGAGCGGGACGGCAAATCCTAGTTACCTAACTTAGCTCAGGATGCTGTTCCATTAGCTCCAAGTGAGCTCTCTCTGCAACCCGGGCTCCAATGCTCATCAGCTAGATTTAGAAACTGCTACCTGCTCCTACCAGAAAAAAGATGACATCTTACACTGGGGACGTACCTGGCTGTTGCCTCCAGTGCTCTCCTGCACAAGGGAGCGGGACATGGAGCAGCTGATGCTGTAACATTGGAAAAAACTGCCCACGAAGTTACTGAGCCCCAAGGCTATCAGCTCCTGCAAGAGACATACCATGGAAAAGGGCTGAGAGTCTGCGTGGCTCTGTGGTCCAGTTTCACATTACACAGGGAAACTCATAAGGATTGACTAGGATGTTCCTATTGTGCAGCCTGCTCTTTTAAGGGCTGCCTGGCCCAAAGCCAATTTAAAGATCAAGGACCAAACACAGACCTTGAAGATGCCCGTCAACAGCACCTGGACCGGAGACTGAGCAGGCACACAGGTCAAGGGATATGCTGCATTTCTGTCCAAAATTAATACAATCATTTCTAAGTGTGCATCTATGCATATAGTTTCAGATCTGCAAATTTTATGCACACCTGCGGCCTGTTTGGTCTTTTCTTTGGTTTCCTTACCTTTGGTGGTGTATAAATGGCCAACCTGGGACTACCAGGCAGAATATATGGATGCTCCCCAAACTGAAGACCCACTTGTATCATAAGTACTCAACTATCCAACGGTAAATTAAAACAGATGATAAGATGGGTCAGGGAGCCCAACTTCTTGCAGAAGGAAGCACCTACAGATCAATCCACATCTGACACAAAGAAAATGTGTCATGCAAATGCAGTAACAATATTATAGCACAACAGTAGTTTTCAAGCTCAGTGAGACTCAGGCCTCACTTTCAACCCAAACTCGCATTAGGAGACCCATTTCTTAATCATTTGCCATATATTTGCATGGTGGTATGTCTCCTGCTGCAGCCCACCTAGGATCAGGCTGCGACCCATTAGCGGGTCCTAACCTGCCAATTGAAGACCAGTGTAGGACAAGACAGAAAGAAAAGCCAGTCCATAATAAATGAAGGTTTGTGCCTGAAGCAAGTAATGTAAGCAACAACGTAAGTCTGAAGTAAGTAAAGTAAGCAATGCAAGTAAGTAATGCAATAATCCTAGCCAACACAAAGGGAAGTCCAATGATCCAATCGCTCAAAACCGCATTACTTCACTGGCTGAACTTATCAGTTGTACTGACTCATACTGACTCAGCAGAATGCTGGTCATAAATCAGTTTCAGCTTATTACCTTAGTCATGAATTCCTGATAATCATATCCTGAAAATGCAAGATAAGCCACATGTGAAGCAACACCTGTACTCAGCAAACCCTCAGGAAGAAGGTTCTCCTGAAGCGCTCTCACCACCGAGTTTCCACCGTTCTTCACAGCTCTACAGTGCCCGCTTCCGCCGCCCCTCTCCAGGAAATACATAACAGAAGGAAGGGCAGGGGGGCCTCTCTTTTCGATGGAGTGGGATGCGGGAGTGGGAAAGAAGTAGATAGCAAAGGCAGAGAACGCAAAGCAGCGACAGGGTAAAGGTGAAAGTAATGAAAACCAGGGAGCCAGATAACGAGCAGAGCCTCCTTACCTGGTTGCTGTCCACTTTGTAGCCATGCTTGAGAGCAAAGATCTTGCCAAGCGAGATAGCAATAACGTAGCTAACCATTGCGATGGCAAAGGCATTTCCTACCACCTTCTCAAAATAGTGTACTTTGGGGGCCTGAGGGGGTCTCATCCTGCAATAAGGAAACACAGACGCAGTGAGGCACTTCTGGTCCACAGACAACACAAGGCAAGGTGAGTGAGGAAAAGCTTAATGTCTCCCTGAGCAGTTCTTCTCTACCTGGAGATGGGTGTGGGTTGAGGGGGCAGGAAAGGGAGCTCAGTTTAGTTTCCTGGGGTGAGGAACCTCTGCATCATGGGCTAACAGGCCTCCCCCATCTGGCCCGAGAGGTCATTTTGGCCAAGCCATACCCTTGCATCTAATGTCATATATTTGGTGTCAGGGGTGGGGCAGGAAAAGGTTTAGCTCAGCCAAATTGTGTTTTGTAGGTGCCACTGATCAGTTGCTGGGAAGTGCCTGCAAAGCCCATTGCACAGGGCTTCACAAGACCTGCCAATTGTCACCTCTTGTGAAGCCCCTTCCAAAGCACTTTGAGGCCCATGTCTGTGCCTGCATGGTTTGATTTCAAACTATGTGAGCCAAAATGGGTAATAACAGCTTTTTGCGAGCTCTCCGACCCAGATAAATTAACCAGTGCACAACATGATCAAGTGAAAGTCTGGATGAACCCTTATTATACATTTTCACCATGAGGTCCCAGAGTGGGTTACAAAATTAATATCCTCTTAAAACAAACAAGAAAGCCAACAAATATTTAAAACGACAGCACCATAAATTACAGTATTGGAGTAGGTCTAAAAAATATTTTCCAGCTGTCAAAGGCCAGGGAAAACAGGTGCATCTTTAGCAATCAATTGTAGCTATAAAGCAAAGATGCATCTCTCTGTCAGGAGAGACTCCAAATTCCCTCTCCCAGGACACTACCACCTAAACTTCTGAAAACAGCAGAGCTAGCAAGAGAACTTCATCTCCCCATCAACACCCAGGAAGAGAAAAATTGCATGTCCTAAGGTGGTTATGGGAAGCAGCCAGAGTGACTCACCCGCTGGGGATTTCACCCACGATGCTAATCCCAAAATTTTCATTCAGCTTGGCAAAGTAGGAGATCACTGTGGATATAATAATCTGAAAACAGGTGGCAGGGTGAGAGGAAGGACTTGGCCACATCTGAGCATTGTTTATATATTCATCCACTTTCCCCCCATTCAAATTCGACCAGAGTAGTCCACACTCACATGCATTTGAATTCAAATTCAAATCAAAGGATTCAAAGGATCATCTTTGATCTTTCTCATTCATGCCGGTAGCCATTCCCTTTTGTGTTTGTCCTTGCCTTCTAATTTGTTGATTCTATTATGCCTAGTAGGGACCAACAGGACATTTGTGCAGGCAGCTTTGTGCATGCCTTAAAAAAAAATCCCCACCCAATAAGTGTGCAAAATCACAGTCAGGCAGTGGTAAACTTGCCTGTGCATTCTTCTGAGTTTGTGCAAATGTGAGGAATCAGAAGAAATATATGTATATACTGTATATATAAGGCCAGTGTGATTTGACTATGCAGTATTCTGGTTTTGTACAAATATGAATGATCTTAAGAACTGTCATCTCTTCTGCTTCTCGTTTCTGATATCCAAAGGTCACAAGTCAACTCCTATTGGCAGATCCATGAGTAAAGATGAGCAATTCCCACCCAGAGGTAGATGGGATGCTCTGGTCTAGTGAAAGCTAAATGTTTGTAGCATATTTGTTAGGGGAGGCAGGACTTTTTTTAAGGGGGTCAGATTAGTTGGTTGGTCAGTTAGTTAGTTAAGTATTTCTATTGTTTTACTTGATCAAGGGGGGCAGCTGCCCCCCTGCCCCCTCCAGCTGCACCCATGTTTGTAGAATGAAGCTGATCCAGACTAGACTAGTCTGCCTTGACTTTCCATAATGGATAATTGCTGGCTATGCAAACACAATCAAAACTACTGAGTAGAGCCTCCCAAAATATGGGGGAGATCAAGACAATTTTGCCCATTTAACTAAACTGCACTGTGCTATATAAAGGAGAGAAAGCACTGCAGAGTCAATTCCAGAGAAGAACTCCATGTTAAAAGTGAAGGTCCAGTAGCATGGCTTTCAGGTTGTCATCTTCCATTACAGATGATTCCCTGGGTTGCTCAACCACTGGATGCAGAGCAGGTAGGTGCTTTGGACCCCCCCAAACCTGGTACCCTCCAGATGTTTTGGACTCACACTCTCATCAGCAGGCTGAGGCTGTTGGGAGTTGTAGTCCAAAACATCTGGATGGCACCAGGTTAGGTGCAGCTACTTCAGACACAGCCTTTTCGGTTGCAGCCCCCAAACCTAGAGCCACCTCCGAAGAGAGATATGCCTGGCCCTTTTGTTACTCACTTCTGGCTAAGCAGCAAAAAGTGCTTTCATTTCAGTGGTCCTTATTAAAATACTGCTTTTTAATAAGAACTTAGCTCCTGCCATTTTGTTGTTTTAGTTTGTTAGTCTTCCTTATAATTGTTAAACATGATTAAATAAATCCCATTCATTTTTCCGGAAAGTTCTAAGGATGATTTAATAGCTACTACAATGTTGTTTCTTGCTAATTTACTGTTTGTGAGCCCACCATGCTATTTTTATTTTTCTAAAAAAAAGAGGGACAGGGTAGAAATCCTAGAAATCCAGAGAATAAATTACCGTGAGAAGCTCGATGGGGATTGGGATCGGAAGCTTCTTGCCAATTTTGTCATTGAGCAGCTTCACAAGCAGGATCGAAACCATGGCGACCAGAGAAGTGACCAAGGTGCCCACATTGGTATTTGGCAATTTTGAGCAAACTTCCAAAAAGGTCTGTAGGGGAGGCACAAAGCAGGGGAAGCAATTGTGAAAGAGGAAACGTGAGAGGAGCAACCAGAGACCCCAATGCAGTGTAATGTTCTGCACTCCCTTCACCTAAACTCGGGGATAAATATGTGTAAATAAACCATATTTCTTAAAGATACCACCATTTCTGCTGTGCCTCAAACCATGGCTTAGTGTCAAGACCCCTGGAATTTTGCTAATGCTCAGCAAAATGGTAATGGTAACACTATGGTTTGTGAATGACCCTCCTTTGATACAGACATGCTGATCTCTTTTATTGTGGTGGGTTTCCATTTTTAATGCTGCTTTCTTGGTTTGTCCTCCTTATATTTCAATTGATTTGAATACTTGTTTATTGTTTAGATCCCATCTTTAAAGAATAAAAATATATATTTGCAAGGAAAAACACCAAGCAACAGCAATAAAAAGAGCCACGCCTGCAATCAATGGCAGTTATTCTTCGTAGCGTGGCATGCATAAAAGCCAACAGAGGAACAGTTTTAGTATTCCAAAATCTTTTATATGCCTTGCTGTGGGTCCATTGGGGCGGAAAGGAGGAGTATTAAAGGACTGCAGACAAAAGAAAACAAAGGAGCCGACACTTGTCCCTTAAAGTGAAGTGATTCTCCTCAATCCCCAGTTGATCTTTGCTGTAAATTACGTTTCCATGAGACTTTCTCTGCTGTGGACACACTTTGCAACCATTGTCAGTGGCAATCTGCTGACAGCATCAACATTCCACAGGAGAAAATAGGGATGTTTCATGTTTTACCCCATTCCGATACCAAGGCCTTGTCCACACCTCACCTCCCTACTGCCACTTCCCCCCAAGAAAACCTGCGGTTTACTGCTGAATCAGACCAATCCATAGATTGCCATTTGTTTCGATTCAGCAGTAAAGATCATGTTTCTCAGGGGAAAGCTGTGGGGCAAAGCAAAACTGCTCAGACCAGTGCCAAGGAAGCTCAGGACAAGCGGAAAACTGCTTGGACCTGAACTTTCTGGGTGCTGGACAAGCAGAATTGTGGAGGAGCCCTCTCTGTCTGACCCCTCTCTGGCCTTCCTTGATTCTTCTCTGACTGTAGTATTCATTTTCTCAGAAATAGGCTGTCCTGCCCTGACTATGGAAGCAAAGCTATTTATTAGTAAACAGACCACAACAGCTTCCTTCCTTCAAGGCTTAAGAATTTTTAATCTCACAGTGAATCTAAGTGTGCTTTTTATAGAACCACTGCGCCACAAACGTTTTCAGAAACATTTACAGTCTTTATAGGGAGTTATGGGGAGCTGGTGGTGATGGTGGGGTGGGGAGAGCTCTTCTACAGTATGCATGCTCACTCCGATAACGTTTTCAAAAAGTAAAATAAAATCAAGCATCCAAAATCCTCCTAAAAGAGGCAAAGCGGAGATATAACTGGGGTAGTGATTTACCAAAGCTGCGTACCAGAAAATGGGAAACAGGTGCATTTGGCATGTATGGATTTGTGCATGCTTAAAATAGCATGGAATCTTTATATTGGGATTTATTACACCTGCCAGACATAGCTAGTGATTCGGAAAACATGATCTGAATCCCTGGAAGTCACACAAGGGAAGGCACTGGCATCTTCCTGGAAGCTGTGGCACTGCACTTGCCATGATGGGATGGGCAGAGCAAGGTGGCTCTGAGGTTGGGGTAGCTCCAGGACAGTGGAGGCCAACCTGCTGCTCTCCTGACCTCACCCTCCCTCGCCCTGCTCCATCCTTGTCCCAGCAAACACAGCCCTGTGACATCAGGAGGAGGCCACTGCCTTCCCTCGTGTGGCTTCCAGGGATTTAGATTGTGTTTTCTGAACCTCTCTGTGGCATGAGAGGATGAGTTCATTCACACAAGCTAGAGGAACAAGCATGTATAAAAATGTCATGTGGAACATGGTTAAGAAAGGGCAGGAGTCATTGGCACCCTTGGGGGTTTCCCTCCCAATGCAAGTAGCAGCCTCAGGGAGACGATCAGTGCTTTTTTTCTTAAAAAATGTTTAAGGGTACTCTCATTTTGACTCAAGAAAATCACCATTTTATAGTTTAAATTGGGAAAAATAAATATAGTAAATGAACAAAAGTACAAAGATCTACAAAACGTTTAGGGGTGTATGCGTACCCTTGCGTCCCCCCAGAAAAAAGCACTGGAGACTATTATTGTTTGGACCTCACAGCAAGTGGGGAGGAGGGTTTAACTCTCCTTTTCTAATGCTACAGTCTGGCTGCTGTTTGGTAAACCTGCCCAACAAACAACAACAAACAAACATGCATATTAATAGCCTCCGTAGATAAATAGGTACTGCTCCGGCGGGAAGGTAAACGGCGTTTCCATGTGCTGCTCTGGTTTGCCAGAAGCGGCTCAGTCATGCTGGCCACATGACCCGGAAGCTGTATGTTGGCTCCCTCGGCCAGTAAAGCGAGATGAGCGCCGCAAACCCAGAGTCAGCCATGACTGGACCTAATGGTCAGGGGTCCCTTTACCTTTACTTTAATGTTGACTTTACATCTAGCATGTTGCTAAGATAGCTTCCAGCTCCAAAAGATTTCAAACTCCTCCACCGACTCCTCTCTAGCCTAAACCTGCCCTTTCCCGGGCCCAACTGTACTTACATAGATTATTGACAATGGCCCTGCATACTCCTTCACAGTCACCCCAAAGACGTACTTCAGCTGGGAGATCAGCACTTGGATAGAGGCCGCTGTGGTGTAGCCCCGCACCAAGGGCTCAGAAAGGTAGGTGGCCACAAACCCAAACTGAAGTAGACCAAGGGCAATCTAAAAAAAAGAAAGCAGAGGGAATAAGATCCTCATGTTGTCTCTCACACACAACTCCCTTCCAGAAATCTCCCTGTGGGACACAGTAGATCTGGGGGTGTATTGCAGAGGTATCTTGCTATGAAGCCTGCTGCGACTTGCCAGAGACCCAGGACAGAAAACAGAACATAAGATCAACCAGTTCTGTCCCTGTGAGATGGGGCCAAACATAAAGGCTTATTTAAAAGCCTGTCAGGTTGCAGGAGAAAAACCTGAGACTTTAGAACAGGGGTAGACAATGAGCTAGACAATGTTGCTGGACTAGAAAAAGTGCATTATATTAGGGAAAATTACAAACAAAACCAAACATATTAGAAGAAATATGCATGGAAATGTACACAACCTTGTGTGTGAACTTATAAAATATATTTACAGTGGTACCTTGGGTCACATACGCTTCAGGTTAAATACACTTCAGGTTACAGACTCCGCTAACCCAGAAATATTACCTCGGGTTAAGAACTTTGCTTCAGGATGAGAACAGAAATCGTGGTCTGGTGGCGCAGCAGCAGCAGGAGGCCCCCTTAGCTAAAGTGGTACCTCAGGTTAAGAACAGTTTCAGGTTAAGAATGGACCTCCAGAACGAATTAAGTACTTAACCCGAGGTACCACTGTACAATAATCACAATCTAATGGGGAAATGGGCTGGACTGAGCTTAAGGCTGTAAAAATGATGAACTGAGACATAATTGGCAGATTCATTCATTCTTGCCTCCTTTGTTATTGTTGAGAGAGAACATGCACACTTTTGGGTCCCACCACTCACCTGAAATATGCCAACCAAGAAGGCGAGTGCACCCACCAGTTCCACTCTGGCAGCATCCCTCAGAGTCTCATTGACAATGGTGACATTCGTACCGTTAACCGCCTCCATGTACTTTCCGCTTGGTTCCAGTGAATCTGTCACACTCCCGATCATCACAGAGATGATAGCAAATGGGCCTGTGAGGAGGAGACAGAGGCTTGGGCCAAGAGATCAGCTACCTGTCCAACCTTGCATCCCACAAGAATCCAGTCCTCTTTTGTCACAAGCTCAGTTGGCTTTGCTTATCCATCCACATCACCAAGATAGCAGGATTTACATTGGGTGCCAAAGGATCACAATTTAGGGCCAGAGGAAGAAGATCCCAGCTTCCTGCCTTTAAGGGTATTTTGATGATGATGATAACAGAATAATAATAATAATAATAATAATAATAATAATAATAATAAAGTGATAAACCATCAAACATTAAAAACTTCCCAAAACAGGGCTGCCTTCAGATGTCTTCTAGAAGTCAGATAGTTGTTTATTTCCTTGACATCTGATGGGAGGGTGTTCCACAGGGCAGGCGCCACTACCGAGAAGGCCCTTTTTGAACAAAGAGGGCTTGTCCCTTTACACCTCACCAGTCACCTGGTTCGAGATAGCAAATGAGTCTTGTGAAGCAGGGCAAGCAGCAATTAAGCCAACTTAAATTAATTTGAAGATGCGTATACAAAACTGCCAAGTGGAAAATCAGAAGTCATTATTTCCTTTTTAAAAAATTCTCTTCTTATCTCTTTTAAAAATCTTTTTTTCGCTATGATTTTTAAACTCGGTTCTTTTTCGTTAACTCTTATCTATATTTATGTTCTGTGATGGATGGAAGATGAGAGGCAGGGCAGAGAGGATCTCCCAAGTTAGGAGGCTGGGGAAGAGGAGGAAGCCCCCAGTGAGATGTAGGGATGGCTTACCTCCTTTGGTGTGGATGAAGAGTAAAGCTATAACCTAGATAGAGGGCTTTGTATTTTCCTATATTTTCCTATTCTCTTCCATCTTCTTCTTACACCTTTTTTTTTAATGCTTTCCCTTTTCTATTTTTCCTCTCTGCTTTGCTTTTACTGTAGTCTCTCAATAAAAACTGAACTCCTACGCAGATCCCAGAAGGCCTCTTCCCCCAGCATCCCCTGCTCACCCACAGAGATGTGCCTGGAGGTCCCAAAGAAGAAATACAGCAGGACGGGATAGAAGGCGGAATACAAGCCGATGACGGGAGGCAGCCCTGCTAGAAGCGCATAGGCCAAACCTAGGCAAAATAAAGGCGGGTGTTAATTCGCAGCCACTGCTTGGTACCTTTGCTTAGAATGCAGGCTCCATTGTATCCTAGGCGCCCCACTCAGACATGCTGTAGTTTTATCCACCCACCAAGCCTATGTATGCAGGCAACTTACACGGCCTCCTGCTATTTCCCAGCATGGTTTAATGGTTACAGTGTCAGACTAGGAGTCTGGGAGAAGCAGGGTTCAAATCCCCCATTCAGCCACGAAGCTCACTGGGTGGCCTTGGGCCAGTCGCTGACCCACACCCACACCTACCTCACAAGATTGTGGTGGGGTTTAAATGAAGGGTGGGGCCCATACACGCCACCTTGGAGAAAAAGGTGGGACAGAAATGCAACAAGGTTGATAAATAAATATGAGTCTGTCTCAGAAATTCCAGACTGCACCCTTCACCTACATCCCCTTCTCCTCATCTAGCTTTTTTAGCCAAAGCTTTGTTTTCCCCAAGGTCCTCAAGGCCGTATTTCCAACAGTAACTTAAATCGGAAGCATGTTTTCATTTGGGTTCCCTGTCCAGTTGTGTTTTGGTATTTGGCAGCTCCTCCAATATTTGTGAAAGTTCAGCACAGTATAGCAGAAAGGCATGGCCTCTTGAAAATCTGGTGTCAATGGCACACCCACGCCAGGTACACAGACAAGGACCTGTCCACTCAAGAATGAAGCACAGAAGGGCCACCAAACCCCATGGAGGCTCTTTGCTCTCCAAGAACAGGGGAAGAAATGGATGACAGTCAGGGCTGTCATCAATGGCCTTGTGGGGTACAAGGGTTGAGGACTGGCTCCCTGAAAGCTTACCCTGAGGGAGATGCATGATTCCTACACTGAATCCTGAGATGATGTCCCCTAGCAGCCAATCCTTGACTGGGTACCGCGGTAGCCATTTCAGGATGGGGAAGAACTTGAACAGCAAGGACTTTGCAGTCGAACCTGAGCATCTGTGAGGGAAAAGTGCAAAAAGGCATGTCTGAGAGGGACGTTTGGTCTTCAAATTGCACTGTGGCCCAGCAATGGAAGAACTGGGAGGTCAAAAATACCCCGTTCTATCTTGGGCATGCCTCTTCTTGCAAGAACATGACTGTCAGGGAACTGCCATCAGAACAGGGGAGGGAGGCAGGGGGATACAGAGAGCCTCCAACTCTTCTCCAGTGGTAGGGAAAGCCACACCTCCAGTGGAGCAGAGGCGGAAGGGGCCAGCCAAGCGAGGAGAGGGCTCGGAGATGATACTGAGAGCCCAGAAGGCAGACGCGCCGTTTCCGTTGCCCAGCTTGCGCAGATGGGTGAAATGTAAGGAGGGGAGGTGGAGATTTGGGGTGTCTAAGTTCTTATGTTGGGAGAGAAACCAGAAGGGGCCACTCCTGGAATCTGCAAGTGACTAAGACAGACATGAACTCTGTGGTTCTGCACTGTAAATAGTTTGCACCAATAAACATGTAAAAGACAGGTCGGAGTCCTGCCTGGTTACTCACGAGTAACCACCACCAGCGCCTAACAATGACTGTTAGCCAGCAGGCGTCTCCTTCAGAGACAGAAGGGACCAAATTCCACATCTGTAACATTTGGGCAGATGTGGAGGCTAAAGAAGGCAATGAAGGAGGTGGGATTGCCCCGCCCACCGCTAAACTACTCATGTGCAAAGCACAGTCTCTAGCTCTTCCTGCCCCTTTCGGTTCAGGGACTTGGCCAGGAGTTCAGCAGGGCTTGGGAGGGGAGGCTCCGGACTTGAAGCCCTCCCACAGGCCTTCTGACTGGTAATTGGTGGAAGGAACTGGCTACAACCCAAAGATTAAAATCTTTAAAGTGGTAGAAGCAAAAGAGCACAGCACCCTCCATTTTCAGGGTTGGTGTGCATGACTGTGAGCCACTTCAAAGGTACAGCTCATATGCACAGAAGATAGTCCTTTGAGGTCTGTATCACTTGTGACTGCAGAAGAGATTCTCACATCTTTGCCCATGGAAAAAGTCCTTGCATAAGGAAAACTTGCATATCAAGGACAGAGTCCGACTAAAGCCCCTACTCACATAATGCCAGTATTCCATGGGAAAGAAGGTTTATTTTTACAAAGAGAACATGCAATGCCCTCCTCTACCAGACCACACATTCACTGCAACCCTAAGTGGAATGACATTAGAAGGGCAATAAATTGTCTGATGCATGTTCTCTGTGACAAGAACATGCATTGAGGTTTTTTTCTTTTAAGGGAGACAAGTGGGATCCATGACAAAATGTTGCAGCATGGAGTGCTGTTGTTCATTGTGTCAGCCAGCCAGCCAGCCAGTCATAACCTCCTCCATGATGCTCCATTCCATACCGCCTCCACCGAGTTTTCAATCTATTTCCCCCACCCAACAGTCAGCGTTCTGCAACCACCATACTTAGCTGTCATTAGCCCTCTGGGTGGTTTCCTGCACCTTAAGGCTTTTTCTTTTAAAAAGCTTTTAGTAAACCTTGGGTAATCCCCAAATAACTCATTTTTGTGTGATGGTGGCATTTTTGGCTCTATAAGCAACAGCACACATTTTTTTTGGTCACATATTGTCACACAAGCATCAGAAGTAGAAAGAGCAAGAAGGATAAACCAATGGAAGTGACTGGAGCACTGGTCTATGGTCCTCCTGGTTTCTAGTCAAGCCATTCTTCTTTTCAGGCTGTGTAGATCCCATACATTTAAAGCACACAACTTACCCCAAAGAATCCTGGGAACTGTAGTGTTTGGTTCAGCTCTGTTAGGCTGAACTACTGTTCCCATAATTCTTTGGGGGAAGTCATGTGCTTTAAATGTATTGGTATGTATACAAATTCAGGGCTTGCAAGTTCCACAAGGTGCTCTACAGCCTTCCCAAAAAGTCCCTTTAGTGAGCTATAGAAACATCATACCTTATCTTCTGGATCTTGGTAGAGAGAGAGGTTGAAGGAGCCTCATTTCTCAGGCCAATCGTCTCTAGCTCAGCCTCAGTCAATGTATGATGCTCGGCCCTGGAGCGGCACAACACTTCGTTTTCTTTCATCTCCTTGGCAATAATGCCACCTGCTTTATGGACTCACTCTGAGGCTAGGAAGAGGGGAAGGAAGCAAGAGGGCCATTAAGACCACCTGCCACTCTGAGAACTTTGCAACCTTGGATTCTGCCACACATTTCCTTTTAAATGGGCCTGGGAATAGAGCATTTAAAATAAATACAGTATAGGCCAAGGATGTGGAACCTGTGGCCCATCTGTGGTGGTGACGGCACTGGGCTGTTTCATCTAAGTGCCGCAACACTTGGGCCTTTAATACCCAAAGGCTCCAGCCAACATGGTCAATGGTCAGGATGATAGGAATTGTAGAATCATAGAATTGTAAAGTGTGGAAGGGACCCAAGGGTCATCTAGTCCAGGAACAACATAGACGGAATATAGAGGTTCCTGTTATATGAAATTGTGGGCAACTCATGTCATGCAAGAATGAAATAACACAACCTCTTTAAAATAAAGATAATACAGTGGTACCTCAGGTTACAGACGCTTCAGGTTACAGACTCCGCTAACCCAGAAATAGTACCTTGGGTTAAGAACTTTGCTTCAGTATGAGAACAGAAATCACACAGCGGCTGCAGGAGGCCCCATTAGCTAAAGTGGTACCCCAGGTTAAGAACAATTTCAGGTTAAGAATGGACCTCCAGAATGAATTAAGTTCTTAACCCGAGGTACCACTGTAACCAGTTATCTGATGCTGAGCAAAATGTTGGGCCTCTGGCCTATAACTCCGAGAAGTCAAATGAGGTTTCCCCTGGCAGATCAGGACAAATATATTACCGTTTTAGTAGCTTCCTTTTTAGTTACAATTTTACCCGAAAGGGTTCCCAATGAACCATCCTTTCAGGGAACAGACAGGGCGAAGCAGAATATCTAAGTGCACATGATCACAGTGTGACCTTATGACCCTTGACAGCTTCACCCTTGTCCTCTTAATTATCCCAGTGACCTGAAATGTTTTAAACTGCGATGCCAATAAAGGTATTTGATTTGCAAATATTGTTCAACAATAGTCCTAATATACATTTTTAATTCATTTTGATATTATTATCCAATAATATTTGTAAATGAATTTAGACAGACAAAAATAATTGTATATATAGATTTATTTGTTTACAGACATTTTATGGAAAAAATTGAAGAAGAACAATTATACATAAAGTGGACAAAGACAATGCGAAAAGTTAAAGACAACATAAAAGAGCCGGAAGAAGGAAGGAGGGAAGTTAGCTTGGGAGAGCAAGAACAAATGTGAAACATAATGTATGTGTATGTATAGTGTGTAACTAAAAAATCAATAAAGATCATCTATAAAAAAAAGGTATTTGATTTGATTTGATTTGATTTGATTTGATAATCAATTATCGGATGTCTGAAGGCTACCGAAGGCCTGACCATTTCCTGAGCTGGCATGCTCGCGAAACAGAGCAGGTACATGACCCCATATAGTTCAGCGCAAGTGTTCAGGGAGGAAGCAGCAACGGAAGTTTGAGGAGGGAAGGGGAAACTATGGCCCTCCAGATGTTGCTGAACCACAACTCTCATCAACCAGATCATTGGCCATGCTGGCTTGGACTTATTGGAGCCGTAGTCAAAGAAGTTCCCCATGCCAGAACAAAGTGGAAGTCTTCCTCTGGGCAGATTTAAGGCCCCCGGCCCCCAGAAAGATCATAGGCTGGCAGCAATGGCCAAACATCAGGCATCTAGAATGCCTAGCTGCCTACTGTTATATCAATTATATTAATTCATTCATATACAATTCCTGTGTGGGCACTCAGTGTTTGGATGGTAAGTCTGTGGCAGCAAAGCCCACCCTTGTTTTAACCATATTGTACAAAACATCTCGAAGGAATAAAACATATACAACCAATTATATATATGAAAACAGTTTTAAATCCAATACATATACAAAGTCAAGTATCTTCAGAAAATGAAGATGGTGCTGCTGTAGGAGAAGGGCTGTAGCTCAATGGCAGAAGATCAGGTCCCAGGTTCAAATCCTGACATCCCCAGGTAGAGTTAGGGTCAGAAACCGAGAGACCTACTACCAGTCAGCATAGACAATACTGACCTAGATGGATGAATGGTCTGACTCAGTATAGGGCAGTTTCTTATGTGCTTCTATGTAAGAGGCTGCAGTGTTGTTTTCTCTTCAGAACTGTTGTGCAGTTCTTTAGGTGCATAACAGCTAAGAACATATTTATTGCTCTGCAGTTTGCAAGTACAAGTAGTATTCCCTGCCGTGCACATTTTTTATAATGTTTTTAATTAACAGCACAAAGTTCAGTAACTCGTTATATGCCTTTATCATTTCATGCATAGGCTGACTTGGAACGGCCTGCCCTGCTGAGTATCTATAACCATCTGAGGTTTACTTTATGGGAACTATAAAATGATGATGCACATTTCCAATATGAAATTGAATGCATATTTTAAAAGCATTGTTTATATTTACAAAGGAATCGGGCTCTCTAAAGAGTGGAAGATTTGACACTAGAGTTGTCTTTTTAAGAGACTGCTTTTTCCTCGCACGATGGAGAATTCATAAGGGTATTCTGTTAATTGTGGTACTCAGATCGGTGCACAGAAGCTAACACCTTCATCTTGCAGCCTATGGGCTAGTTTTATGATTTAACAATGTTATAACTTAAGAAGACTCTGATAGCATATATGACTTGTTATGCTGAAATTTTTATTGCTCGTAAAAGTGTTGTGAAATGATTGTTTGTAATGAGTCTTAGTAGTGATCCTAGGGCTGTGTACACACCATACATTTAAAGCACCTCTCCCTAAGAGTCCTGGGAACTCTTTTTCAAGAGGAAATGTGCTTTAGATGTATGGTGTGAATGACAACAACAACAACATATTTATACCCCGCCCATCTGGCTGGGTTTCCCCAGCCACTCTGGGCGGCTCCCAACAGAATATTAAAAACACGAAAAAACATCAAACATTAAAAACTTCCCTAAAAAGGGCTGCCTTCAGATAATAATAATAATAATAATAATAATAATAATAATAATAATATATTTATTTATACCCTGCCCTTCTGGCTGAGTTTCCCCAGCCACTCTGGGTGACTCCCAATCGAGTGTTAAAAACAATACAGCATTAAATATTAAAAACTTCCCTAAACAGGGCTGCCTTCAGATGTCTTTTAAAGATAGGATAGCTGCTTATTTCCTTCACATCTGAAGGGAGGGCGGGTGCCACTACCGAGAAGGCCCTGCAGCCTATCTGTTTCATTGGGAGTAAACAAAGCAAAACTAAAACTTAAACCAAGTCAGCCATATAGCCATTGTACTACCTTGCAGAAAAACTCATGAGAAAATGATCTCAGTTAATGCCCTAGCTAGCCCCTGCCCCCTCTCTCTAACAACTCCTTGTCCCTCCAAGCTGAGCTCTATAATTGGGTACGTATAAAGGTGGCATTAACTAAGATTTTATTTCCTCCTCAAGAGGATGCAATTAAGGACATGCCTCCCTGGCCAACTAGATGCCATTTAAGGACAAGTCTAGGCGTTGACTGAAGGAGCAAGTGAAAAGGTATAACTTGAAATGCCCTAAAGTTAGACTCTGGACTGCAGGCATTAGCCATTTTGGAAACCTCCCTGGGCACTTGAGGACACAGGCAAGTGGAACTGCACTACATAAAGGCAGGCACACAAGGATATGTCTGATGACTCCCCACTAGATACTATTACAAGGAGAAACTGCAGGGCACATTAGATACATCTTTCCATCCCATGTGCAGGGTCTGAATAATGAAAAAAGCACCAGCTAGAGTGGGAGGGAGGAGACCGGTAATGAATGAGATTTGGTGATTTACTCCCATTGCAAATATCAGCTTCAGAAGAGGGATTTTCTTAAGAGCCCCGCAGTGGAGAAAGGGGCTAAATCCCCTCCTTGTGTCTGCTCTGAGCCTGTTAATTATTAGCACCCTCAAAGGAAGATATTCCCTTTTTAAAAAACATGTAGATTAGGGCTTATCCACACTTCCTCTTGTCATGTTGCGTTCCCCTGGGGAAACTGCTCTTCAGTGCTCAGTCGGGAAAAAATGGCAATTTGGGTTTCCTTCAGATTGATGATTGTTCTAATTTATTGCTAAAGAGCAGGTTTTCCCTGGGAAAGGAGTGGGGAAAGGGGAAAACCGCTCATCCCTGTGGTTTTAAGGCATGGGACAAGCAGAAGTGTGGACAAGCCCTCTGACGCAAAGGAGTATTTGACCCCATATCTAGTTTGGCCCTGATAAATGTAGCAAAAAAATTACACTGGAGGATTCCTCTGACAACAGAGAAAGGTTCTGATACCACAAAATGCAATATAGGACTAGGACAATGTGGGGAATCTTTGGCGGTCCCAGGCACCCCATCTACCCCATTTGGATTTGGACCCCAAAGACCACAGGAACTTGTGGGTGCATGGAAGGTAAGCTGTAAGCAAGCACAATTTGTGACAGTGCACAACACCATTGCTCGTCTTTTATGGCATCATCCTTAGCTTCCAATTCCCCAAGCTTAAGCCAACATGAGATAGGCTTACATTGCTCTTAAGCCTGCAGGTCTTTTAGTCACCAAACGTAATAGAATTCTCAGCCATCTGGATCAAATCACAATTCACAGAAGTACTTGTGGTCAGCCGTGACAATTCATCTGGCAAGTTTATATTTATACCATAGATATTTTTTTTACTTGTCTACAAATACTGACATGGCGCTGTTGGAGAAAATTGGGGGGGGGGGGAGTAGGGTGCTGAAAGGGAGCACATTCAGTCATTATTTTAGGAGCCCACCTGTAAATCTCCATAAAAGGACACAACTTTGCATAAAATTTACATATGGTAATATTGTTATGCGCACCCCAATCTCTAAGTAGCGAGAGACATCGGGGTGCCAGCACTTTCCTTGGAATGAAGGTCAATGAAAACTGGTATATTGGTTTTATTTACACATCTATGCAGGCTGCGCATAAGGTGGAAGAGCTCACAGCATTAAC